CGGGCAAATTGTACTAGCACAAGCAAGATAGTTATCCATTTTGTTTTGTGCGTGTACAGTAAGAACTTTTTTGCGGGAGTGCATCGTACACATTGATCTGCATTACAAAGACTGGATAGGACACCGCGCATTGTTTGTGCGCAAAATGTGCGGCTGAACAGTGGCGGCGCGCTGCGTTTCAGGAAGGTAATGTGATGCTGTATGCTGTTCGTTTACCGGTACCTAGTCAAAATGGAGAGAACAATTTTCTTATGGGAGGGTGCTATGCCCCAGGCCTCTCCCTCGAATACCGGACAAAAATTCAATAACATCATTTTCCGGAATTAACCGACCACTTTCTTCGTATTGAATAACCCACTCGCAATCCATACTACTGTTTTTGTGTATGTGTGTGTTTGTTTTTGGTCTTTATTCACTTTTCACACCTGCTGCCTACGCGGTCTTGCTTGGGAATTCTCACTTTGGGTAGGTTCAATCAAAATCTATTCATGATTTTGGTTCACTTTACTCTTTCCAAATTTACCCTTTTCAGGTGCGGAATTCAGTTTTCCTTGGAAATCTGACGACTGAAGTACAATAACCTCGAGCAGGTTTTGAAAGACTCCGTTTGAAGTTACGCGCAAGAAAAGTCGCAACGATCGTTATTTACCCATTTAAACAGAAAAGAGGCTGGGCTTTTATAACCACTAATCTTTATTACTGTTAATTTCACTTTGCAATCCGTAGTTCAAAAGTGAAGTTGCAGCAACAGAGAACACTTTAAGAGTAAATAATGGCATAAAACTTACCAAATTAATTCACAAATCTTAATTTGCTCTGACATACAAATATTGAATGGAAAATCAACAACAGAATCACACAATACAGCCATCCAGATGAACAATAACAGAGCTACTAAATTCAAATCCGAACGCCTGAGGATTTCTTCACTCAACTGAAACTTTCACAGAGTCACAACAATGATGCCTGACGAAATAGATCGATATAAACCGAGTGAAACTGTAAATGCCATGTACGGAGATGAGATATTTACAAGTGTTATCTTCCACTGATTAGTGGTGCGCGTTACAGAAGGAAACCAGGTATACCCTTTGACGTAAAAGACGGACACCGGGGAACCCTCATGGGAAAAAATGATCAGTCAACAATCCTTGCACATCCTTATAATTTCACTTGTCACTGAATGTACGTGCCCTTTTATCAGTTCATGAGCCCCTCTTATCATACAAGCTCTATTGCCCACCTTCTCACTGTTTCACGCACATCTGGTAATTGAGTGAATGGACTGGTCCTACAAGTATATCAAGAAGTTTCCAACGCTCGTTCTTTGAAGTCCATACTATGCACACAAATAAAGGCAAGAGTTCACGCTGATGTACGCTTCAACTGTCTCTTCCCACAACTGTAATTCTATGTAACTTCAACTTGTCAAAACTCCACAGGCCTACGTACGGTATGATAAACATTTACAAAAGGTCCTTGTACAAAGGGTTACAAAGCTCTTAGTCTTACAGAGGCTTCCAAATTCTTTCCTTCAATTCCTTTCAAGAGAGAAAGATGCAGAGGTTGAAAAAACACGGTCCATTCCACTCAACTAATGAAAAAAAAAGAATGATGGCATGTGTTGACATCCCATCATTACAGCTAAAACGCCTGTGAACAATAGAGGGCGCTATCGTGCTTTGACGGAGTTGATTTTGGCACTAACACTGAATATTGATGAAACTAATTCAAACAGAAATTAATAAAGGCCAATATTTGAATAATTAGAAATAGCTTTGTACAATGAAATTAGAATTTGACGTTGTCAGCAGTTCAAGCAGCGGAAAAAAGTCCAGGCCCGCGGCTGATCAAATGTAAGACCAAAGTTTCACTTCCTGTTTACGTTTCCCTGTAGTACTTTTTTTTGTAACTACATTTCTCTATTCCAGAATTTTTCTGCTATAGGATATAAACTAAGTATACAGGACATCTTGACCCAGGCCGCTGACAGACCAGTGTGGAGAAAAACTTCCGTATCGTCTGCCCTCAATTCCCCCGACAACGTAAGGGTCATGGGAATGAATGAATACTATAACCCGACAGGTTATATGGATCGACACAAGAGGATGACTTGGGACAAAGTTGTACTGTAGTTGATGTGGTTTATTCGGCTGGGTCGATGTGCGGCTCTCTGCCCAATTGCCAGAGCTCATAGGGAGTTTATACATTTGCTGGAAATTCCATTTTTCATCCATCATTCAAGTTTCCTTGCCTTATTAGGTATTAGCTACTAGTCTTTGAATATTAATACAGCGTGCATGAATATGTTTGGTTCATTTGGATTTGAGGGTAGGGTGGTCAGATTAATGAACACTGACTTTTCCTTATAAGACCGGTGGGCTGCCTCATGACCCATCCGGTCCAGCCCTTCTTTCCTCCTCATGGGCCTTGTGGTTCAACTAGTCATTCCTTAAGTGAGGCTCATTACTTGGAAAGCGGTTCTACTGTTGAAGGTCAATCCGTGCATGGAACGTAAGTAGCAATACAACATGTGCTATTGTAACATGGTGATAATTCCCTAGTGACGACCCTGCCCTTCTTTCCTTGTTGGCAGGTTTAGGGAACATCGTAGTTTGAAATTTAAACGCTGTGAAATTCGAAATCGTTGGTTGTATATATTGCGTGCACCTCGTTGGACAAAAATTAAATAATTGAGTGCAGACAAGGTAGAGTGTTTGAGACCATGTGTATAGTACATGAGACAGATTTCAACGGTGATCACATTTCCTGCGACACCCCTCCCCCTGCCGGCCTTGACACCTCAGTGATTAAGGAGCAGCATCCACCGCGGACCCTTCAGATTTACACTTCGCGACGACGACGCCAATGACCACGCCTCCGAGGATCACAAAGGCTGCCGCTCCAATCGCGATGCCTGCAATTGCTCCCGGAGACAAGATGGCGGGCTCCCCGAGTTGTGATGTTGCTAGAAGAAGAAAAAAGAACCCGAATGCGCCTACAGCCACTTGTTAACCCTGAAATGTGTTCTGCACTAGCTGTATCGTAGGTCTCTTCTTTTTGATACCATCCCTACGTAGTTTCAAATTCACACTGCACGAGCTGAACAAGCAGTTTTGGAGAATGTTTGACTTGATCATGAATCCTTCTGCGGGGGGGGGGTTAAGGAACGGGTACCATGAACCCCAAAGAAGGGTTCTTGGCTTGTTTTCTGTTTGTATATAATAAGAGAAAGACAATATTGTACTGTGGTTGATTATAGGTGGGATTTCTAATTTCTGTACCTCCCCAAAGCATGTAAGGAGCCCCATAATTTAGCCTGTCGTCTTAGGATAACCAAAAAATGACTTCCCGTTAAGGTTGTTCCCGATTCACTGTAGGGAAATTCAAGCCGATCTTTACTTTCTCATCCCGTACGCGACTGCGTGGTGAACCGTGTGTTCGAATGACCAACTAATTACATACACTACCAAAAGTCACCCTAAGTTTTGTTAAGGCGTCTAACTGAGGAATAACTGGACTCTCGTGATACAGACTCTCAGTGATCGTGACAAACAATAAGTCCAGGGAAACTTTATGAAATTATGAGAGAGGAAGGGCAGAGGCCAATCCAGCAATCTCCCCAGGACAGGGCTGTTCCTGTCAGAGACGTTTTCCTGTCAAAACATTCTTCATAATCCACTTTAGTTCTTATCCTCATCACCAAAAAGTGTGTGTGTGGGGGGGGGGATCCAACAGCCCAACTACCCCCACCCACCTCAAAAAGTGGGGGTTATACCCCCGTTCCCCAGGAATTACCCCAATGCTTATTTTATTGGAATCACCACTCACCCGTGACTGTTACATCTGTTGCATTGGCCGTCGATAAGATGATCGTCGTCACATTTTCAGGGGATGTTGTACCACCGGGGGAATCAGTTGTTGGTGCGCTATCTACCGTTGCAATGTCTGAAACTAAGGTGGTGGCATCATTCGGCGCACCACTGGATGCTGTATTGGTTGTTGTGCCGACTGAGTCTGTAATGGTGTCAGTCGGAGCTAAAGTCGTCGGCGCAGTATCTATTTTACCATCTGTCGTTACTGTTGAGCTAGCCACAGTTGTTGTCTGTGCAATGATTTCTAAACACAGAACAAAGTCATATGTCATTAATCTACAATAAGTTTAAGTTTGGGGGAATTGTTACATTGAAGTCCAACATGTTTGTTGGCTAATGGTGTTTTGTGCAAGTCTGGTATAGCAGCGTAACCAAGGTTCTCATAGCACGGGGTGAGTGGGGAGCTGGATTTTCAGGGGGCTGCACGTCGCAATATCTTCTTTGGTATGTACTATTATTGTTTTTGTTTCAAATTTCCAGCGAGGCTGATGGGTGCCATGATTTTTCATGGGGGAGGGGTATGAGCTCCGGAGGCCTCACCCGGCTACATCGCTGACAATGGTCCCCAACTGTTTGCAGACGGCGTTATGTGCAATTTTTCAACCATGGAGGAGGAAGTCCTGTGGGAACAAGAGACGTTTTTCTGTCCTTAGTGGTCAGTCTGTGTTGTCCTCGGTGGTCAGTGTCCTCGGTGATCAGTGTCCGTGGTTATTCTGTTGGACTGTCTTAAATTATAGTAATAAAAACATGTAATATCCCTGTCTCATTTGTGGTGTAACAAACTGAACACGACTGTGCGTGTATGTATACCCTATAGATAGTACATCCTTGGTTGGTTACTTTGATCGGTTCCAAATACAAATAACTTAAAACAATTAGACTGAAAACTTGAAGTCTTCGATGCACATGTAAAATTTGTGGGAGGACAGTCAAGCTATAAACAGATATGCAGACGAAGTCCTGACTTTTTAAGAATTATCATTCTTTAAATTCTAAAGGGAAAAGGTCCTACCCAGGAGATTGCAATCTCCTTTCAAAATGTCCCCTTACCTGGCACGAGAAATAGTACAACAGCGATAAGTAGGAGGGCGCCCTTTCCCATTGTGAAGCCAGTCGCAGACTCTTGCCCGCCTTCTGGTTGAAAGACCTTGGAAACAGAGGTAACATGACTATGGTGATTCCGAACAAACATGCAAATCCCCACAAAAAGTTTTAAATCAAGATTTGGGCCCCAGTCTATAACTTGGGAGAAGAGTTCGTCCGAAGGAAAATTTGGATACAAAACGATGTATAAATTATGCGATGTGCACGTAAGGGTGAGAGCATGCCATTTTTTTTTTTTTTTTTTTTTTTTGGCAACGAGGGCGCTACAACCGAAATGCGCGTTACCCGTTGACAATGAGTATTCCCCTAGTGGGAATGCCATGGGGTGCACAGTTTGAACGCTGACGGGGCGGCGGAGCAGAATGTAATCTGTTAACACACAGTACATGTGTGAGCGCACCGCCGAGCAATAGTATGGCGAGTCGTAAGGGTTGAGGCTAGTTCCCCCATAAAAAAGAAAGGCAATGAAAAACAATAAGACAAGAAAAAAGACAAAATGGAAAAAATAGATGAAAGGGGGTGAAAATTACCAATTTGGTTTCAACTACCCCCGTCATTTCTTCACCAGTTTACTGCTAATCCTAGTGAGACCCTCGGTTCTGGCTTCCTTGGAGTGTAACTGGCATAATATGCCTTAATATGCCTGTATTTATAGTAGCAAATACATTTTTTGTTTATACACCAGCTTATGAACTCAACAACAGGCCACTGTACGAATTGCCAAAATTACAGCTCTTGTTTCCTGTGAGTACACATTTAGGATGAAACATTTCGTCTCGGGTATCCGGGACTGCGTGAGTGACGATCTGGATGACCACACAGCGACTGATGGATGAAACATCGAAGCCGCCATACCAAAGATGTGAGCCTGTTCACAGTCAAGTTGAGTGCCTGAAGCTGCGTCTTGGACGGGATGGATGGTTGGTTGTTCAGGCTTCCTGGTGAACTGCACTTTTAGTAGAGCGACTTCTATTTGACTGTTGTCAAGAGTTTGTCTCCCCTATTGCACCTATTGGTAGGGGGCTCTATATCCGTCATTTCGCTTCTTGCCACGATGTCTCACATTACGCATTTTACAACTCAAATTAAATTGAATACACCAAATATGAATTATTTTTAAAAATTATTCTTTAAATATTTCGTCTAGGGGAATTATATGTAGGTAGGTGTTTGTCAGTTTGCATTCTGTAGGCCTAAATAATCAGAAATTAGGAGGAAAACTGAATTATTATTATTATTATATGAACAAATAACCAGAAGTAATTCACTTATATTCACACTTGGTGTCACAAAGCTGTCAAATAAACCACTTTGATACGGTGTTTCACATTTAATGCAAGATCCGCCGTGCGAGATATGAGATGGCAGACGCAGAACACCATACCGTGAATTTCCAATTTTAGTGTCATTGACGTGTCTCACAGGCAGCCAGGTGGGTATTCCACTTTCCGTTCATATTCTAGCTGTAAAGCAATGGTTTGTTTTCACTTTAGCATTAACTGAGGCACGTCCATGCTGTATCGTATCAGTCTTTGTTTCAGCTTAATCTGTTTGATAATTTTGTTAACATAGTCTCCCATTGTCCGCAAAACTACATTTAGTATTTTTTATGTTTAAGGTGAACGAAAAACGGACAATTATTTTTTGGCTCCAGCATTGAAAGTTTCATTGGTATCATTTGAGCACATTTTACAGAGTTACAAAATGACGCCGAAAATCTCTCCCGGAAATAATACAATTTGACCCGGCCATGTAATGAAATTGCACTGCGATTGCGTTGAGAAAAGTGCAAGTTGTTACTCCTCTCTCAACTTTTTTTTATAGCGGAGAGAGTTGCTTCTAAATGACAAGATCGAATCCCAGAAATCTATGCTCTTTACGTCATACTCCAGCAAGCTGTAGAGGTCTAATGCCAGGGTTTATGCGAATACCAGAGTTGTAGACTGAAGTCACTTGACTTGGACTCAACTCGGACTCGAGTTGCTATTTTTGTGACTCGCGACTTGACTTGTGACAATCAGTTGTTAACTTCTGACTTTACTTGTACTTGCACATTTTGACTTGTTACCAACACAAGTCAGAAAACTACCATTGAACCCATTACAGTTTTATACTAGGCCTATCAACTTACGCATTGCGTTCATACAATAATCATTGTAAGACTTCGTTCAGATCGCGAATTTTACTTCGGTTTTGTCGGCCCAAGGCTACGTCTGAATCACTTAGCTGTTGTGTTGTAGTCTTGCACATTTGTTCGGAAGTGCTTACGTTTTTTATTGTTTCACCAAACTTCAAGCTTCGCTTATATTTAATATTCCATATCAGTTTATGACGTCACTCAACTTAGAATTAAAAACAAAAATAGCAAATGCCTTCAAGACATGCCAATAGGTTATTTCTGCCCATAATTAGATATTTGTTGAGCATTCATCTTCTAAATTTCCATTTTTGTATTGGGAGAAATGTGCCAGATTCGCGGTAGACTTGAATCAAGTGGGACTTATGTTGCTCGTCCTCAGTCAACCATCTTTCAGCCTGTACGCACTTGACGGTCGTCGCGCTCGGCCCGGCAGCTTGCATAACCCTTATGAGGCGCCCTCATTTGATAGCCTTTATTGTACAGCGTGTGTCTGACGTCACCAGTCAGTGGTCGAGTTCGGGCGGCCTGTTCTTGACACAGGTTTCTTGTTCTCGCTCTCGAACAGCAGGAACACGAGTCAAGAACACTGTTCTCGGAACAGGATCACACATCACCTCCTCGTCAGGGTTTTACAGGAACACACGGAAAACTCGTGAGATTTTGATTTTTAAACAGCTACAAAAAGTAGAGAGATGGCTTCCAAATCCATAGACCATATAGACAATGGGAAGTTTTGCAAAATTAACATTAATTATTTTCCGGAACACAGAAATGAATGTTCCTGTTTATATAGAAAAGAATTCTGCCTATCCAAACCTTAACTCTCGAATAACGTACATGGACCCCGCCATGTTGCATGTTGCTTGTAATAACCGGTTGTTTGTTTCAGGCGCTCGAGCGGCCGACCCACGAACAACAAATCCAGCTGTTCGTGAACATAGGCGAACAAGCCGACCGAACTCAGCCAGTAAGTCCGACTTGACAGATAAGCCAATTGGACCCTCCGTCGGTGATATGTAGTTATTCATAACTGCATGTGAACGACATGACCTTGCAAAATGTATACGGAATTTCCACCAATCAAAGTAGCCAGACCTGTAGACTCGTTCATTATAATGCAGGTATGAACGACGTAAAACAAGTCCGGCACTGTGATTGGTTGCTACCACTTTTGGTAGATAAGCCCATTCGCTGTGTACAAACGGGTCGGCAGATTCGTGAAGTTGGGATTTCTGGACTGAAGTCATAGTAATAAGAGGGCGCGAAATGGCGTGCGGTCTCGATATGTATCCAAAACATAACCATAGACGTCACAGAGATCCCGACTTGAGTCAAGTCTAGATTCGCGGTACTAAAGCGAGCGGAGACATCACACATCGTGACTGTACCGTGTGCCACACGGCAAATATTTAAAATGGCTCAAATGTTTTGGTTATAAACCTATCTGCGCTCATCACAAGCTCTCGGGTACTGCCCCTGACAATTGAAGGATGCTTGTGAGTGCCGAACTCAAAGTGTCATTAGAAAAGGTCGAACATGATGTTGGCTGATGTGTCAGTTGGAAAACGTCGTTCGTGAACGTGAAGCAGACAGCTTGAAGGTTATTTGCATAGCTTTATTCTCGATCATCTCTCAAGTTATATGAATTATGCATATCTTATCATTCCTTTTAAAGCCTGTTGCCGACCCTGGTCAAACAAATATCCAATTTCCATCCGGTGTGGTTCGTGTCGCTGATTGGGAAATAACTATGGACAGTCTTGGAACCAAGACCAGGCTGTGGCTTGAAATCACACATCGTGCGACAGTGCGACTAGACGTGTATTTGGATAAAAAGACTTGAGACTTGCTTGTGCTTGGACCAACTTGATTTGTGACTTGACTTGACCTGTGATCAAATGACTTGTGACTTGACTTGTGGCTGGACAAATTAATTGTGACTTGATTTGGACTTGCAAAAGTTGAATTGTTACCACCTCTGGCGAATACCCCTGACCGACCAGAATGAGAATTGCCACTAAACCTCTGCCAAGGCTTGGGGAGTGGACAAAATGAGCATACGTGGGTATAGGTGGGTCCTATAGGTGGGTTATCGGAGGGGGGGGAGTCAAAGGTGCTTTTACACTCAAGAGAACTGATACGATTTCACTAGACCATCGGATGTGATGAGGAAGCGCCTCTGCTACTTTTCAACACAGCGTGCACGAGTACACGTCAAGTGTCTTTGAAAAGTCGGGCCTTTGTGAAGATGTAGTTAATGGTAAACCCATAACCGTGGCCCTCCCCCAAAATGAATCTTTATGAAAACTCTTCAGCAATACGTCTGTCAGGAGATCAATAGAAGCTGAAATTTCCTTTTGGCAAACAAATTTTTACCGGTTGCTTAGTCAACCTTAAGAACCATTTCTCGTCTGGGGAATCGATCAGGGAAAATAATAAAAACTTTTCTAAAGCTTCTGAGTGTCTGTGATCCCTTCAAGAGCTCCCTGGTCGACCCTCATAGAGAAGGTCACCACGGCTAGCATGTCAATTGCTCACAATAACACTACTCATCCAAGGGCGAGTAGTGGCATGTTTACTACACTGATCTCAATATTTATGGTTTTGACTGAAGGTGGTGCCTTTTCGTTCTGTACATGGAAGCAGTTCTAAAGATCCCCAGTGCCCTTCAAAGTTACCATGGACAATACAGCTGAGAACGGAACTAAACTAACACATTATGATCCTGGAATGGTCTTGGAACTCAATGAATACGCACAAAAATACCATGAATGTTTGTGTTAGTCCGAATACCGTATGCGGTTGACGTTTGGGGCGTGCTGTTATTCCTTTATCTCACAAGTTGTACATTAACTTAGAATATTATTTATTTCCATGTACTGACAGACGCATAGAGGAAGTTTGGTTTACTGCGGGTTCAATTCAATTCAAACAATGGAGTGGTGCGTGTTTCAAACGCGAACTAATTGAAATCAAAGGGTGATGTTATCGCCCAAACATTGTCACCAAGGACTGGTTTCCATGTCAACATGACAACAAACTAACAACGCAGGGTTCACCAAGAAACAGTTACGCAGAGCCATAGAATAACGGTGCATTCCCTCCTGTCCTTCCTGCTACCTTCGCGTGAGGTAGGTTAATGATTCAGAACAGTGAGTTAGTGGAGTACACAATAAAATTGGCGCCATGTTTTCAATATAATTTTGGTCGCCCTTTTACTGTCGTCCTTCGAAATTCGTTTCACTTTGTAACTTTTCCTCCCCGCCTTTACGTATTTTTATTTCATTTTATTTTTTCAACAAAACATTTGAAAAAAATGTAGGAAGCAAGTATCAACTGCATTGTGAGAGTTGCGAAAAATCACAAGCTTGCTCGAGTGGGATTCGAACCTCAGACCTCTTACTTTCTTGTTGCAGACGTCTTCAGAATGACGAGATATATTTTGACCCATTATGAACCTTATCTGCATTACACTATTGGTTTGGTGTATCAGAAAAGCAAAGATGGACGCTTTTCTCAATCTGCAACACAGCAGCTTTACTGAAGCAAAGGGAAGAGTAGGGGAAATCCTTAACATGATGTAATCAGGACATTATCACATCAATACAAATTCCGTTTGCTGGTGTCCACAATAAACAAGCAATCAGCAACCATAATATTACTGAGTTGCTGTAACAACTATTGTACTGGCCGTGGTCAGTTGCCATTAAGTCTTAATCTTAACTGCAAAGAAAGTTAAGCTTGCTTTGAATATAGGTTACGAGCGTCCCAAAAATTCCAAACAAAGTGTGCACCAGAAGTCAAATCGTTGCCCAAGAAAAAGCAAGGAATACCCAACCTATTACCTTACTGTGGGACAATTTTCAAAATGCAGGTCAATATCATAATGAGAATAACTTCACCATTATAGAATGCGACAACGTGTGAAAGTTGTAGGTCGAGATTATAAAGAATTAATGACAGTGATCATTGAAACAACTAGTCAGAAACGAAAGCAGCAGCTGTGGCTTCAAATGGTTTTAGACATGGACTCAACACCAACTCTCACTGGATGGAGGGAGCCGGGCGCTTACCGGCTGAAAACTTGGTATCACACTTTGTTCACAAGAACCGGGATAAACTGTATTCTGTTTGCGTGTTTCCGGATACATAGCCGCCCATTTTCCTCCACGTCATGTCCACTTTACTGGCTGTTTACACACGTATCGTTAAATTTGGATGTTCTAGCAAAACATCGAATTTTTGAAAGCAGTGTACCATGCAGCGTTCCACTCTTCTCCCTGAGAGAAACTACAGGCCTGCTCGATTCAAAACAGCAGTGTGAAAAAATCTCTACTGCAAAACGGTTTATCTGGTTAGGTTTAAACTTTGTCGACATCAAAACATAGATGTCTGAAAATATATACATTCGTGTACTAAGCTTATGGTCAATTTCATGGTAGCACCAAGTGACGGTATTTTTTTAATTCAATATCAAAATCAGAGCTATTCGGTCTCGTTTTATTGTCGTGTAATTAGTATTCACATCGTAACATTTTATCTCGTTTATTTCTTCTAAATTGCGGAAAATCTCAGAATATATTAATAATTAAGTTTGCTACCTGTGACAAAACAAGAGGTGAGAAACGTTTTCCGATTATTTCGATCTACGAAAGTGGCTTAATTTGGGGGGCAAATGTACAGATGGTTGACTTCATGGTATAAAAGTAAATCAAATATTGCAAATGCAGAATCTTTTGTCACGGCATTACCATCGCCTCAGAATGCAGCTGTTGGAATAAACTGGTCAAGGCAAAATTTGCGAAAAGTAAATGTCTTTTGACGAAGAAGTGAGGCTTAATGCAACTTGAGCGTATAGTCAAATAGGAAAGTGCTGATTTTTCCTTTCTCCGTTCTGTCGCCTTACTTCATGTGCCCAAAGTTCAGCATGCATAACTTACTTGTGAGTTTTTTCAAAAGCTGAACCTCGATATGATGGCATTGGTGAGGGCGACAACAAGGATGACGTTAATAATTATGAAGATTGTGACGGCTGAGATAGAGGCCAATTATGATCGGTAAGGACGAGGATATCAGCTGAACCATGGGGACGTTTTCGGAAATGAGTGTTCAAAGAGAAAGATCGGGGGAAATGTTGAACGGACATTTCGAGACCTTTTTGAACTGTCTTCACAAAACGCTTTCCCGAACTAAAACTAAAACTAAAAGTAAATTTATAGAAAATGTGAATAAAATTAAAACGAGGGGAAAAGGAAAATAACAATAATAAGGTGAATATTTACAAATAGGTCATTTGGGAGACAGTTAGTGGTAACTTTTTCAGCATTGGGGAGACACTGGCTTTTAGGGAGACATTTCAGTGTCTCCTTATTTTCAAACTACCAGAAGGAGGCCGAATTTTATCGTCCAAATTTTGAGAGATGATAGATTAGGGTCTAAAATGAAAACATACAAAGTTTCCTTGCACGTTCTTGTGGGAATGTCTTCCTAATGGCCAATAAGTGGTAATTAAAAAAATGTATGAGAAAAGAGATAAGATGACGATAATTAAAACAACGTCAACAGCAGTGTTTAGCTCCAGGTCACACTTACCAGAAACGGACACTTCCAGCAATGCTTTAAGATTCTCAAGGATCGACTGCCGCTCCAGGAAGGCTTTAGGTCTTACCACTCCTCCGACGTTATCATCAAGATTCACCAAAATCCTCCAAGGGATCCTCCAGCTAAGTCGTGTTTGACGTTAGTTTCGTTTTTGCAACCCAAAAATAATGCAGGTTGTAATCATCCCATAAACTGTTGCAGACTCTGAATTCTGTCTCAGGCAAAAAATGCTTCTGTGATACGCAAAGGCTCAAGTGAAAGATCTAGAGCGTGTTCAGTGTATTGATTTTGTTTTCCTTGACATTGTTGATTAAATATCAAACAGGGCATGAACTTTGGATTGGAAATCATATTTTGTATATAACCTAATACGGTCTGCACAATCAAGACAAATAACCCCTCCTACCAATATATCACCGCCAACAGCCATCCAATCCGGTGCGTCCATCCATATTTGACCAGTTAGCTTCGTTATGATTGCTGCTGTGCCATGCATATTCATTAACAGTGCCAACTACATTTTAAACAACCATTTACTGCTGTTTGAGAGCGCTGATCCAATGCAATAACAAAATCCCGCTTAGATTAGCTTCTAATCGAAGTGAGGTTTTTAGTGATCTGTTAAAAGACTTTCAAGTCATAATCTATGTGCGCACGAGATTAAGCACTTGCCGATTAATTGGGATTTTCTGAGGGAAAAAAAATTGAACAAAGCTAGAAATCCTGAGAGACGATTATCAGAATTGCTCCCTTTACATTTTCAATGGCCCTTGCTGCCAAGGCCTTTTGTGCTCATACTGACATAATTATGAATTTATCTGAGAAAAGGTCTATTCTGCTCCTGCTGACGATAATGGAAACAATGCAAATGAATGCGAATGTTTTTATTATAACCAGGAAGCAAGCAGAAAAATTCCTGTGAGTTGTTTTGATCAGTCGTAGTCTCGGTGGTACAAAGCCGACTAGCATATTTTGGTTTCGTTGATGTCATGCCAAGAACAAATAGTCAAATTTAGTGACAACATGTGAACAAAAAAATCAGTTCTGCCAGACTACTTGAAGGTATTTGGGACATTTAATAATGTTGGACTATAATGATAATACGAAAAATATTTTCTAAATGTATAACTTTCAGCATAGTCGTGAATTTTATGTTTTGGATTATTTGTCTGATACGTAATATTAAGGAACAGAATTAACATGAACTGTAGACTGTTTTTTTAAGACGTGAAAACATCTTCAAAAACAAATTTTTCTCACTTCGTTGGCAACTTTTCACTTAAAATAAAGGTTTGCTGTAATCAAAGACCAAAGTACGTTATAGATATAAAGCTGTGAAAAAAACTTTTAAAATACAGACTAATTTGACGACCAGAGACAGAAGCCAATATAATTTTTATGTGGTTTCTGTTTTCAAAAAACAAATCTACGTATTGTGCGTTGCAAGAAGTATCTGCAAAAGTACGACAGGACAACCCACCCGAATTGAAGCCCAAACTCTCCGACAAAGAAGACGCACTCTTGGAAAGTTTAACTCAGATGATGATGAAGGGGCTGTCAGTGGGCAATAAACCAGAACTGATAACGCCTCCCTTTTTTGTACCGTAGGGTGCGCCCCAGTAACTAAGTTTCCATAGGCACTAGTGATTAATCCCTATATTTCAAAATTCATTTAGAAATACTCACAACTCTCACTCAGGTTACACACAGAAATTGTGATCAGCATCTTTCTCTCATTTTCTGTTCAATTTTGGTGGGTTGACCAATGAATTTTTGAGAAATTCTCACCAAAAGCGTTCCGCCCCTAAAAAAAAAGATATTTCCCTCAGTGGGAAAAGTAGTCATTTTGAAAAAGTATCCTTCTGCAAAACTCCTAAATAGTGCCACTTTCGGACCCGATTGCCTCCAAATTGCTCAGAATTGGAAGCCTTGTGTCCAGGCCAGATTTTAGTTATTTTACCATAATTATTTCTTCAATTCCACAATTTCAAGGCTCTCGGGACTCTCTGATATTATAGAATATGTTGAGTACATAAAACTTTTATAGATGAGCTTGGCGGACACATTTGTAGCCTATTTACGGGGGTGCACCCACGAGAACATCCTTGACCGTTGCGCGCACGCGTTTGGCAAGTGGCGACACCCAACAGTCGAAGAGGCATTATTATAATACGAACCAGCTGTCCATGAGCGTTGTGCCACTGACTGCAGTAACGGCATTTAATTCTGGTTGTCGAATTACACGTGGTCGCAGACCAGGAAATATACTCAAAAGTGCCTGCGCCAGCCAAATCATTGTTTGCATGTGGTGTACGGAAAGAAAGGTGACATTTACGAACAGGAATACTAGCTTGTTTCAGTGTGAGGTTAAATGAAATCAGCATTATAACATGGTGTATTCTGCAATGGAGTGTCTGTGTGATTTTTCAAACTTTCTAAGTGCTGCACGACCTCTTTAGATGGCAGTTTCCACATAAATGTAAGTTATCAGAGTACCAAATCAGAACAAAAAACAAAATACAATTCATGAACTAAACTTCTGAAGTCTGGTACAAGTACCTTTCCTACCTACCTACTTTATTCCCTTTCTTTGTTCCGTACCCTTCGGGTTGTGCTGTTCTTTACGCCATGATTTGCCTGTTTGGGACCATGGCAGCTTTTCTATGGGTTTCTTTGTTTCCTTTGAGTCCAAATCAAAGGAATGTGTGGGCGTGCTTGAACGCATACCAGTATAGATTTTAAGGACGGTAGAGGGCGAGCGGGTTAGGGTAACGGTTCCCTTCTCGCCTTGCACCAGTGAGGCCCGGGTTCGAGTCCCCGGCTTTAGGTGCATGCAGTTTCCAGTCCATACTCGCCCTCGCAGGTTTTCTCCGGGTACTCCAGTTTTCTCCGACCTCTCAAGCTAGATCGTCTTCCTAACTCCGTAATGTGATACTGATTAATAAAGGTTATAAATAAACGTATCGTTATTGGCTCAAATCGCCTGAGTAGCTGACGCTAGCCAGATTAGTAGGCCCAATATTGGATTGATATTGAAGCTGTTTTTTGTTGAAATAAGATTACACAAACGTTTGCATCCATGGTATACTCCTAAATGGTTGAAGAAAATTGTCTTGAGAAATTCCCTGATATACTTTGATTCATTGAGAAAAGAAACTAGCTTGGTTACTTTCCTACGAGAATTGACATTTTCAGGACCACATTTTGGCAGACTATTATCTGATAGTAGTAAATAAAATTGTGTAAATAGTTCATATCAAAGAGTGCAACCTGCATTTCATTCTTGTGTTTTGTACACCACAGTTTGGAGACTGTGACAGTACGTCCTGGTCGTTATAAGTTATTCCTTTTTAATGGTTAAGCAACAGTTATCTGTTCATGTATCACAAGGAAAAAGATCTTCCCTCTACAATTTCTTCAAGAATTGTCTTTTTAAGAGCAAACTCTTCCAGGAAAATCCAAACATCACCAAACACGGGCAGTTCTAATTCAGAGAAGTACAAAACTTGAAAAGAGTATTACATAGTTTTATTGACTGACTAAAGTGTATTTTGTTAGTTTTCAAAAACTATTTACATGGTGACTGCAAACACACTCTTTTAATAAAAAATGATATAATTTGCGTAACATTTTTTCATTTATAAATAATATCATATACAGAAAATTTGCATCAATTAGAAAGATCTCTGTAAGAATACTGGACACTTCAAGCACACGTAAAACTGTTTCAATATGCTCGTCTTTTCCGACTAAATTTGCATAATGTAATTCTAATTAATGTAATTTTAGTTTCCATCTTTTGTGTATTTCAAACTTGTGAAAACGTAATGACGTCTCATCTCCAAACTTTTGCTTTTGTTGACCCGCAGTCAGGCTGCGTTCATTAATTAAACAGGCCGTTTCTCTTAATACCTACTTCATTAATACACAGTCACTCTTTGAATCACTCTGCATACAGTAACGATGTAAAAGGAAAGCTCTGAATACTGGCGTCCTTTAGTACACCAAATTTGAATTTTATTTGGAACTTTATCTATGAGAAAAGCATGGGGGTCTGCTTATCCTATTTACGACGTCTTGATAAGAACCCCTGAAATTCTTCGTGTCCTTCAGACACGGTTGGTCGGACGAGTCTCCGACCCCATAGACACGCAAGAGAAGGCAAATCTAAAATCTGTGATAAGGGCTAAAGATTATAACACACGTTTTTTATGCCATATATTTTAAAAAACACATATCTGATTTACAACGCATGTGATTCCGATAAGATGTCATTTGAGGGCAAAAGGCCAAAATGAACACACAAGCAACGATCACATACAACACACTGAAAAAAGTAATTATGTTAATGAGCTAGCAGGACGTCATTTTGCCAAGACAGTTATGTTGTCCAGTCGGCATGCATAAAGATGTGGTAATCCATTGGTCCATCTTGGCAGCATGACGTCAGATTTTTTAGCATACAGTATTCTACAAAAGTATAACCGAGTCCGAATCAATACGGTTGCGGCCAAGAATAACACGCTGCTATAGGCATCTATCATAGGGCAGCCATTTTGCTTTCCTTTTTTCAGCAATGTAACCAAACTGAGGCTGGAAGGAAAAACAGTCTATTCCCTTTTATCAATATGTGAAGTTGCATCACTGTAATCAGTGAGTCTAAAGGAAACAGGACAAAGAAAGGCGCATATCAGAATAAAGGTGTATGGCGAAGTGGCTGTGGCCGCAGTGGCTCCACATGGCGCACGTGTTATTACTAGACGCAGCCGTAATTCAGTCGGTCAGCATCGATCTAGCGGCTCATGACACGGACGCCACAGAGGGCGACTTCTCCGATTTCTTCTCGGCGCTTGGCTGCAACTCGGCGTCCTCCACCGACATAACCTTGGAGTTGCCGTTGACTTTGACGACGACGCAGGCGATAAGGGCTATCACTAAGACTAAAGCGGCCACGCCACCCACTGCAATGCCGGCAATGGCACCGACTGACAGTCCTTCATCAATGGATAATGCAATGACACAAAAAAAATCACAAAATCAGCCATAGCAACAAGACCCGATTTACAAAACTAACTCAGGAGGCCATTTACCAATGATGCATTGGTACAAAAGCCCCCCATTTATTTTACTGACGTTAAAGGCACGTTTCCATGATTTTGTACGTTTAAGGGTGCGTTGCGTACAGATCCGCTATTTGTACGTTTCACTTTCTCGGACATAAAAAGTTAACATTGACATAACACACGTGCATGTAGCCCAGGTTATGGCGTTTCGTCATTGGCCGTTCGTATGATTACTGCACTTTCGCGTAATCCACTGTAAGCGAGCGATCTATCCACTGCGGCCAAGCAAGTGCACAAACACCGTTTTCGCCGGTGTTTTTCGTCAAAGCTAACAGCGACCTCATGATATGCGTATCACGCTGGCCGCATAAGGTCGCTGTTTGTCATGATTTCCCCGCTGCACACATCCCGACTCTGTCCACGCACCGTACGTGCCTACAGTGAGTGCACTGTCTGGGCCAGGCCGCAGCGTTTTGTTCGCTTTACAGTGTATTATTAGGCGACTGTTCCGTCACCATACGGACGGCCAATGACGCACGCCTTGCACTGAGCAAGGTAACGTTCTTTGCGTTTGGCTGTCAAAATCGCACCGGGAGCGATTTTACACACACGTAACACTTGGCGTGAGTGTTTAAGCGCATATGGAAAGGCGCCTTAAAATGCAGGCGAGAAGGCTTTGGAAAATAGCCCCTATTCATCCCTCTGCTATCGTTGTTTTGGAGGACACTTATGCAAGACCTGTTTGGCTGTTTTACATCACGTATACAGATGCATTTTGTGTCCGTATTTTGTTGAGTGGATGCGAGTACTTAGATTATTGTGAATTGATCACCTTGGCTCAAAACAACAGGAGTCTGAATATATTTTTCCTATTATTCTAAAAAATAACCAGAACGGTGTTATGCGCCATGCAGGGCAGCCTATAGATTAATCAATATAACGTCAGTAAGATCTCGAAAAAACAAATCTCTGTGTGATTAAGTATTCTTTATCAGAAAAGTAAATAAAGCAGTGACGTGTCTGAACTTACCAGCTATTTTGGAAACCGCTGTGAAAACAAAGAGAAAAACAAAGAGAAATTTTCAACGTTAATTGGCAACATTTTCCAACAAGAGGGACTACTGAGGACTATTTCTATGAGAACTATTCCTATGATCATGAATACAACGTGTCACCGAAAAGCGCCAGGAATACTAGCATGTACCTAATAATTTAATTGTGCTCCAATAAGAGGAAACCTGGTCAACTTTAAGATGTTTAAATTTCAAGAGTATGTATACTTTCTACAGTAAAAATAAACGTCGGAAACCTCTTGCAAGCATTCACAAACAAAGCCTGATTAACATACGACGATAAAAAGTTTGATAGGCTGCTCGTTGAAAACGGTTGTCGTATTGCCTCTGTTATATAAGCCATAGGATTGTTTTCATGTAGCAAGTTCAGTTTAGCGCAGTTTATTGTCTGCACTAACCCATCCCAGCCATTTTACAGTCCGGGGAAGATGTGGGTAATAAGATTTAAAAGGTCTCCCATCCCGGTTTGGTTTTAAGCACACTCAATACATCCACGGCAGATTCTACAATCACGGAACTGCAAACTCTTTTGAGTTTGGCATAACCTGGAAAACTTATTTTCTTCAAAGACCACTGACTTACCATTGACGATGAAAGAATTTTTATCAACCTGAAGGTCCTTGACGAGGCTGTCATTTGAAGTCTGGAAACCCTCAATTATCGCAGCTTTCAATGTGTCAGCGGTAATCCCCAAGACGTCATCAAAGGCCATGCGGTAATCCGCGATGATACTTCCGCTCCTGAACTCTCTCACTTGACAGTTTCTGTAGGCATCTTCCACGATAGAAGATTTCAGGGTCAGTCGAAGCTGAGGAGTTAGAATGACAGTGGTCGCTTGACTGAATTAGGTAAATGATAAAGTTCATCAGGTTTAGGTGGCTTGGGGTTCGAACACATTATTCTTATCTTTCCTCCTATTGGCGTAGGCCTATCCAGCGGGGGGAGTTGCTCCAGGAGGCAAACATGGTGTCATTTTTTTTTCGGAAGAACTAAAAATTTAAAGACAAAAGAAACGGCTTTGCGCATCTTCCTATTTTTGCAATGAGATAAAATCATTCGAGGGGAAAACATGGCCCTGTGTGGCTGCGCTGATAGGGCAGACCTTGCTGGCACGCATTATTGCTATTCCCAAATGACCCTGGACGTGCTTCATGTTTTTTTTTTGGCATGCGCCGTTGAAATGCTGTAGTTTCTCATTCATGTAATCGCTCACTGGAGTAACAAGCCGTCATAAAAAGTTTCGGCTGCTCTCCGGCACCCATGGAAGTAACTAGCTGCCGGCTGGAGTCTCTCCCCGTAGAAGTGTGTTATCAGCCATGGCTTTAGGACACACTGATGAAACCCGCATCCGAGACAGTCCACACAAAAAAACAAAATGACACAAAATCTAAAAAGGGGGGCCTAAGAACTATCCTGATGAAGTTGCAGCTCAGTGAATTCTGTATATTCTTAGGGTGAGAAATAACAATATTACAGAATTTTGATTTCATATCAAAAGTTTCTGAGTCATGTTCTGAATTCAGCGTCTGGGACTAGCGTTCAGTCGAATGCAGCTACGCGATGTCACGCACTGAACCGACAAACCGTATACTGTACCGCACGCCCCTAGATTAGCCCAGGTTGCACGACGTCTACATAGGATTGCGACTCATGTCCAAGGTATAAAAGTTCTCCTACAATGCGAAATTTTTTCGACGGTGTTTTCTCACATTTTTACCTGGCGAACACAGCTCAAATGTCGTTCACAGAGTACTTTGTATCCCGAATTCCATAAATGCTGTGTTAAACTTACTAAATACACCCGCGGACAACGTATTTTGCAAGAGATTTAGCGAAATCCACGCTTTCTGTTCTTCCAGTTGCGCATGCACCAAAATGGCCTCCAAGCTCGGTCCGCATTGTCAGTTATGTTGTCTAGGTCTAGGTCTTCTGGTCTCATCTGCGACTTCCTCACGCTTGCGCCCTTCCGCGCATGCGTAGGGTGCATTTCGTGCATGTGCAAGTACTCGTACTAGACGAACGCAGACCGCGACGGAAAGCGTGGACTTCGCTAAATCTCCTGCAAAATACGTTGTCCGCGGACGTATTTAGTGGTGGGGGCGTATTTAGTACAAGGCACCTGTGAACGACATTTGAGCTGTATGTGCCAGGCAGAAATATGAGAAAGAAAACTACAAAAAAATTGCATTGTAGGAGGACTTTTATACCCTGAACGTCAGTCGCAATGTAAACGGAGACAACGTCTAAACTGGGCTAGGCCCTAGATGTACATTGTATTGTGTCAACGCCCGCCAGCACTTCTCATGGCAATTTCCGAAGGGAGTCTTTAGACGCGTCGTTGGAAAAGACCCACTTCAAAAATATTAGGGTTTCTTCAAATTGACAGCTTGCCAGAAAAGAATAATTTTACAGGGCGTTCAGTCCCATCATTTTTAAACCAAGTTTGCTATTCAACAATAATTTCGTCTGTTACAGGTACTGTTTGGATTACTGCAAATCATGGACTGTAGCTTTTACCTGTGCCTTGAAAAACCTTCGATTCGAAATCTAGATCTCTTTTCTCGGAAAATACAGCATTCGTCAATTTCGTCAGGTTATTTTTTTTGGGGGGGGACTCATCTTTAGATTTTAAGCACTTGTGTTGCTACAAAGGAGGATGTTGTACAACTTTACCTTTATATGCGCATCGCACACACGCTTAATTTACAGAGCAAATTGTAGATAACTTACTGCGTCGCAGACTCTTTTACTTGTGGTTTTGAACTCCATGGTTTGGGAGTCTCCTAATGCTGCTGTGAACGTGGCATCTGCGCCGTCAATTTTGATGATTTTGAATTCACCGTCAAACTCCTTGAGGGCTGACAATGTAAAAACAAAAATGTCCTTGAATAACCTCTACACAGGATTTCTTTGGAAAGTCTGAATATTGTCTATAGACATCAACAGACGGTCATTTTTATGCCACAAGTTTGTCGTATCTACCAAACTGGATGTAGCGAAGTGACTAATACCGATAAAGCTTGGCTTGGACAAACAGGTGCTAGAAATACACTAAGAAATAAGCCGTAACATTTCCAACGTTCTGATTTCGCACACAGAGGACTAAGTCTTACAATCTAGATAGATAGGGCTGTAAAACTGTGTAACGAACATGGCTAGCGGCGGTGATTCCTAATTTAAGATGTACGCTCCCACTTAAAGGTCAGCTCTCTCCCCGCTCCGCGAAAGGTCAAAAATTGTGCACAAACGTCCGAACCCGGGATTTTGCGTTCATACTGAGAAAAGAGGTCAATAGGAAAAGTACTATATATAACTGCTTGTTTCTTTTGATTTACACGAAAGGAACTTACAAGGTTTTTCGGTTGGAATCTTTTCTGTAGGGTTTGATTTCGTTGTTCTGCCTCCATTTCCTGTCGGCTCTGTTGTCCCTGCCGGCTTTGTCTCCCCTGCCGGCTCTGTTGCCCCTGCCGGCTTTGTCTCCCCTGCCGGCTCTGTTACTGGCTTTGTTTGCCCTTCTCCTTCTGTCGACTTTGATTCTTCCGTAGTTTCTGCCGCACCTGTTGGCCCAGGTGTCTCGGTCATCCCTGCTGTCTCTACAGCATCTGTTTCTGCTATCGGTGCTACAGTCGTCTCCGCATTGCTACGTGTTCCTGTGTCAAAAATAAAGCATATCCGTGTAACAGGGATGAGATTTCTCAGCTTTTTAGCTGATTTAAGCTTTTTTGTTTTGGATTTCAGCTTTTTTCGTCATTGGTTGTGTACAAAGGTATAGGAAATTTTCACATTTCAGCTTCTTTGTGCCTTTTTTCAGCTGTTTTCAGCTATTTTTAATCATTGGTCAATTTCACCCCTGGTGTACACAGGTACATCGACACAAGTGCATTTATATGTATCAGCATGTTGAATTGACGGTCCTCTGATTTTTTAATGTTTGCTTGACATTTTAGGACCTTTCTCTCTTTTTATTTAAATACAAATCTCCCTAATTCCCGAGCAACACAGATTTGTGTTTCAGGGAGAAAATCGCAATGTAATGCTGGTTTGTGCGCAAGAATATTCCGAAACTTTGATATTTTGCAATGTTATGCTCGGGTTATTCGTTGTCGTGTAAGCACAGGCAGGCATGCAATTAACCAACTAGCAGCCCTCTCTCTGAAATTTTTCCCAGAAAAGAATTTCAGAATTCATAATTCGAACAGAGAAAAGGTACAAACTGAAACGTGGTTTCCTTCGATGTCGGCAAAGCAATGGCGCCCTCTGTTGTCCAGATGACCAGTACGGACATCTTTAAACACTTAAAAATTGTACTTTCAATAAACATAAACCCCGCAAGGATATCAAGTAGATTCTGTACACTGTAAAAAGAGTATGAAGCTGCACAAGAAAGTTCGTCTAAAGACAATTTGCCTGCCCCTGCTTCTCAAAAATAAAGGAAGATTTGATCTGGAGGCAAAGTGCATTTCCTTGTCAGTGCTTCTCCCAAGTCTGGAACCAAATTTTGTCTGGTTTTGCCCAAGGCTATTTTTACTGAGCTCATTACATCTAGTGATGTATTCTCTTTTGATAAAAAATAACTAAGTCAATTTTATCATTAAACCGATGGGTAAGAATGTATGTTTTCACAAAAAGGAACAAGGAAACATACCGAATGGAAAGAAACACCAGAAGGGTGAAATAACTTAAGGTCACTAGAAGAAAATACTTCAAATAAAACCTTACCCATCAGGCACAGTGCCACAATGGAGGCACCAAGAATAATGGTTTTTGTATCCATGGTGAAGATGTGATCGCCAAATTGTGTCCCTGTTGAACAACAGAATAAGAGATAAGACATTTCAAGGCAAGGGTCGTACCTGTCTAACGATCAAAGGAGGATCCAGGGTGGGGGACAAAGCGGCCTTTCCCTGAAGAGGAGGGAGGTAGCAAGATTGTTTGATTTTTCCAATACAGTTGCAGAACGGCAATTTCAAGGAGAGTTCTCCGTCCCCTCTTTCCGAAAGCGTATAAAAACCCAACCTTTGCCTAAACCCTCAGAAGAGCGAATTTCACTTACAAAGTTTCATGGTTGCCATTGCCCCTTTACAATGGTTTGGAATATGCCTTTGCATGCTCAGATTAAAACCGTTAAAACAGAGGACTTTATTAAGATTATTAATAGGGGCGTATTAGTGAGATGCACTGCTAACAATACTACCGTTACATCTTCCGTAATGGTAGTCTTGTTCCAGCACGCCATTGATTGATAGCCAGTCACTAATGTCGCAGAAATCGTACATCACTGAGGGCATAATTGTTTTGTGTAAATTTAACCATTAGTGTGGGTTCCCATAGGTGGAAACTAGTAGTCGTGCGCAGCCTGAGATAAGTCCGGGGAGAAAATAAAGAAAAATTGAAACCCGTTACATGAAATTCTACAGACGCCATATTGGGAAGAAGCGTGCAGGTCTAATACGTCAGTTCAGTATTTCAAAAAGGGTCAAAAGGGCCAGGTGATAGGGCAAACCTGGCATGCATGCATGAGTGCATCGCTGTTGGAATACCACACTGGCTCGAATCGTTAGAGGGTGCACTATTCACGGTCCGTTATCAAGCACTTGTCTCTTTTGACCGACACTACAATAGCGCTAGCGGCCGTTCAAAAATACATTTTTTGTTTAAAATTATAAGTAATTCAGTGGCTTGCGATGAGGTCAATGGAGGTCATATCACCCGGAGAGAAAACAGTAGAAACAGATGAGCACCCAAGCAGCCAGTGGCGTAACTAGGGAAGGGAGTGGAAGGCATGGACCATCTCCATCTCGAGGCCTGTGCCGGGTGCCCCCCCCGCTAAGAAATCAGAGAAGAAAACAGTCTGGTGATGGTTCACTTCGGTCAAATATTTTAACAGTGACTGAACCCATGCATGATTGCGTACCCCCTCCAGTAAACGGGACTCCGAGTGCCCACCTGCCGTGTACCCCAGTTTAATACTCAATGCAGGTAACTACATTATAAATGGGCATCGAAATTAAATTCTGCAGAGAGGGATAAAAAAAGCCGTTAAACACGAATTAATCAGCAACTCGCTCTTTTTCCAACCTCCCACGTCAAGAATATTGCTCGTGATTTTCCTCCAAGTTTCTCTCGAAATTGTGGCTTCATTAATTCCCTGCTGGTACATATGGGAGAGCATCCCCTCTGACCCCCTGGAAGATGACGTGTCTGGTAAGTTTTATCTTAAACCTGTACCCTATGAAATGTTTACATTCTTGTATGTGCACTTGATAGATAACAGTACTTATAGAGATGGTTGGGAAATTACTTGTGTGTTTAGATTGAAACTCATAATTTTATCTGCTTGTGTTGATAGAGCCTGAAAGTTGACCCCTGACAGCGCGCTTTCGGAACCCTTGGATAGGAAAAATAACGTGCAAGGATTTAGAATTTGTAATATTTTTTCGTTCTGTTACTTCTTCAAAAAAATCCAGCACGGAAAACGGGCTACCGTAGTATACCAATTAAACTGAGAAATCACCTGACCTAAAAGAGAAATATCCTACCGAAAATTGACCCATCACTTCCGATGGGAAGCACACATCCGATGGGAAAATACATGAAGAACATTGCAATGAGGCAGTCTCGTACGCAGATGGTTTGGAATTTTATGGTAGTCCGTCGTTAAAAGCAAAAATAAAAAAAGATCAAAATATTTTTCACAGTGTTACAATTTATAAGTGATAAACTTAAAGCAATATTTTACTTAAATTTCGAAAGTTTCTAATCTTTTATCTAACCTTTGCTGACAACAACAACTGCGTAACGTCAACTCAACGGATTTTGAAACCCATCGACTGCAAGTAGGTAAATCTTGTTTTCACGTTAGCACGGGCAGTGCTTACAAACAAACAAACGTGCATGAACATGGAGAACCAGGTACGATATCTCCGGATGTGAAAAGGTCGTAAATTCGTCGTAAATTTTTACCCATCTCCAGGTGACTTTTCCTACATATTTCTTGAGGAAGACAAAGGAACAATTCCAAGTGTTTCATGGGGTGGTTTCATTTACGAATTATTTGTCCAAAAATTATCGAACGTGTAGGACGGCCCAATGTAAAATCCACATAGGCGCAGCCCGCGAGGGTTCCCGAAGCACGCAGAGTGACCGTTTACTTTCAGGCTCTACTGAGAGAAGGGCTTCGCCGAAAATAGCTGCTTTACAGTATCGATTTCCTTTTTCAAAAGTCAAATATAAGAAAACCTAACTTTACTTTATAATTTATAAATGTGTTAAAAGGTTATCGTTTTTCTTCTCTTGTTCTTGATTTTTTTCAATGCAAGTTCGGCTGTGGACCTTGAGAGTTTGATTAAAACACAAAATAAAATAAAACATGCTTCAAATAAAATATAGCCCATAAGCATTAGTTTACAATGAATAGAAGCCGTCGGCGGGCAAATATTTGAGTTTTCGGAAATTTCACAAAGGCCTGCAGGGGGTTCGGCATAACAGGTACTACTACTGTGTACATAGTAACATATTGGATGGGAGTAATATTTACGTACTTCATTTAATCGTCGCTAGGGGCAAGGTTCAGGCCGTTTGTAGCCCGATTATGGAGAGAATCGAATCTACCACTTTATCTTGATAAGGGTATTCTTGAAGTTGTTTATCATAATGGTTGCTACGTAAACACTTCCAAACATAGCGACGATCACACTCTGCACGTGAGAATTTATTTTATGTTTCAGATGAGCAGGGTTTTCCAGTCATAGAAACCATCGCATAAACGTATTTTATAGACAGCCAATATTTTAGGTCGACTTTAAGAAATACCCCTAACCATACACTAAGTTAACATTATTCATTTCGATTAAATTGGCTTATAGTACAATTTTACAACACTTTCACATAGAATTAATGACCTGAAATTTGTCTTGGTACATTATAAGCTACAAACATGGCCGAAGCAGAAATTTTTGTTGTAAAATCTAATTTTGGCTCCAAGGTAATACTGAAACGGCACGGACGCGTTGACGTATGTGAGTGATTGCAACCGGAGAGTGAGTGCTCTGCAGTAATTTGGGACGGGTCTTACAATTGTAATCCCAGATCCCCTTATCCCAGTTGCCATTTTCCGAGAAGATATACATGGAACAACCGGGATATTATGCCAGCACTGGAAGGTTTCGCACCAGTTGTATAACAAAAACTAGGTTGAGGTTGGGTAGTTCAACTCCTTTATCTTTAAGGGACATCTGTTTAAGACTTTCTGATTTCAACGATACTTTTGTACTAATTTTCGACATGCTTTGTACACTACCAAGGTCATAGTGGTCGTGTCCGTAAGCAAGCGTGAGAATGAGTGGTCGTGACGGGAGCACGCGCCGAAGTCATTCTGATATTGCTCTCTTCTCTTCAGAGATCATCGCCAGATACATTTTCAAGAAATGCGCGTAGATATCCTAATTCCGGTCGTGCTTGAGAGATGAATGTTAACGTCCACGAAGTGTTTTTTAACCGTTGTTAGTAATGTTTTAATAACAGAAATCAAACTTCAAGCGCCATAAACTCAGTTAAAATTAGAATCGTGACCAGCTTTCGATTTCCACAGGTCCCAACTGCAAGAGACAGAACGAGGAAGGAAAGATGCACGGAACTGGACGGACGTGGTGTACAGTCTCATTCTTCAAGAACAAAGTACCATTGGTTATGTTGTAGTTCCTCCAGCCACCTTAGCAACAGCTTGATACAGCTTGTGCTGGGATTGTTCTTGAAATTGATTAAATTAAGCAAGGTTGATTTTAAAATGCAAGCACAAATCCCGAAGAGTTACGTGATACATGAGCAAACAAGAAGTCGGCGCATGGCCTGGCTGATAAGACAGACCTCGCCCTAGCGCACGTGCACATTTTGCTGTTCCCAAACTGACCTCTGATAAGCGTCATATTTGGAAACATTTTCTCTTGGAATACCGAACTGACTTCCTGCAAATTCATTTGTTGGAAGCTATATATTTTTATTTCTTTGCCTTTTTAAATACATGCTGTATTTTTTTAGTTCGAGGACGGAACCAAAGTTACGGCGGACTTGCTTTGCTGTCCAAAAATTTGGAAAGGCTCACACCTTGAAGCTGCCCTTATGAAGGAAGGCTTGGGATTGTAATTCCGTGTATTATTATGAACTAAACTTTAATGTCTGACATAATCCAAATATGTAGCAACCTTACAATCGCTTATTACGGACTAAAAGCTGTTGCAGTGTATTTTGTTTTTAAACGAAGCCTTCAGGAGTAACTCTATTGCAATCATTTTGACACTAATTTATGACAATCAAACATTCTATTCCAGAGCAAAACCCGATTTTCCAAGACAGGTCTGCCCAAACATGTATGTTTTCAACACGCAGGTGACCTTTAAATTCAAACAACCGTAACAAACAAAACTGTACGCCGATTTGAGTTGAACTTATCAGTTGTACAGGATGAAGTTTAAAAAAACATCGACTATGGGACAGGTAAGTTCTTGTTGACCGGCAGGGAGTAATTAAGTGCACAAAAAGCGTATCCAGCTCTCAGGTTAATGTGGAGATGATCCTTAAGAGTCGTATAACATGCAATTGATGTCTGTTTCTTATGTTCTTTTTATCGAAATTTGGTGGCTTCAGATCCATTTACAAGTACACATACTCGGAAGTACTCGGATGCGTGCACGGCCATCTTAGTACTCGGCAGTACTTGGTACTCAGGGAAAATACTCGACTGCAAGATTTAGAAGCAGTCACGAGGTGTGATATTTTTCATCAAACGCAATCACGACAAACAACTTTCACTTCTTTCAACACATCTCTCTGTGTAGTTTTCACTGCCGTCCGTATGCATCTTGGCCAGGTTACCGGTCTCGCCGGCACAAGATAAATGAAGTCAGTCGCTCAGCAAGATACAGTCTCCGATGTAGGTAACATCAAATTGGCCGCACCAGCATCTTAGACAATGAGTGATCACCATTCAAACTTTGTGTTATGCTATGACCAATCGTACTACGATGCTAAAATGTTGCGGTATACTTTTCTTTTAATACAATATTATTCCAAGTGGACGAAAAAAGGTTTGCATAAAATTAGTGTCAAAATGACCGTTAGACATCACCAACAACACTCTTCAGGACTCAGCACGACGGGGGCGAATTTGACCTCTATTCTTGGATGGTTAAATTGGACACTAATTCTCCAAAACATTTGTGGAAAATTTTTCAGTGTTTCAGCAACAACAAAAATGTACATAAAAATGAGGCCTAAATACTCACAGGAAATGGAAGGGGTGGGTTGCTCCACTGGAAAGGTCGTCCCGCCGGCTTGAACGCTGGAAAAGCAATAAATGTGTGACAGACGGAAAATCGCGGTTTATGCTCTCGTCAGCATGCTATGTTTGGCCAAATGCTCAGCAGTCACCATAGTGAACCATAGCAACTACACCCCAAGAGGTAAAATAATACAACATCTGGTGAAGTGCAACCTCATTTCATTGTCTCCCCCTATTGTCCAGTCCATAAAAATCACTTCATTATAGCTTCAAAACCCCCGTCAAAAAATTAATGATGTAATTGGTTGACAAGTACTCCTCTTGGACAGCTGACCGCCAGCGTTGCTTCTGATTGGTCTGTTCGTTTAGTGTGGAGGCACCGATCACACACCCATTTGGGTCACAATGGCTGTTGATCGTCCTCGTTGGCAATCTCTCCAGTTGACAGCAGCGCCAATCATTTTTATATATAACCTGTCTCCAACGTTGAACTTGTAACAGTGAGCAAAGAGAAATTTGTTTCCTAATTCTGTTGTGGTAGACCATCATCGTTGAAATAAAACGGCCAATATTCTGCACAGAAAGCACGGCATTTTCAACGCGATCCGTTTCTTACTAGATCAGACGTTTGACCCCCAAGGCAGGAAAAGTGGTTAGCTCAACGTAACTTCAGTATGGGGAGCAAAAAGAAAGCATGTAACCAGCCAGTATCAGAGAAAGCGCACGAATGTTGCCAAAATGTACAGGTCTATTCCAGGCCCCTTTAATAGCAAAACATAAGTATGGGAGTGTGATTAATTAAAAAACCAATTTTAAGAAGAGTAACTCTGCATTGTAAACGCCATACAATTCATCGATGAGGCGTACACATCAGCAGTGCTCCTAAAAACAATCTTACCACAGCTTGTAATAATTCCATACAACATTTTGACACATTTGGCCCATGCCCTTCAATCTTGAGAGTATTTGACCTAACCCTTAAAGCAGGTAAATGTTTTTATACGGCATGGGTATCTTATCTAATTCCATGCTGTCAATCATACTCAGTCTAACTACGAATCGGGGAAAGACTGAAAATAGGATGATCCCTTTGTTAAAAACTAAAGAAAGAAGCCATTCATAACTTCATATTCGTTTGTCTTATTCAGCGGTGTTGCAGTAGAGCCGTTTTTCGAAATCCTCATGTTTACACATATACGAGGGGGTAACTACGTTTATTGGATGATCCTCGCCAAATCTGCGGTGACCGAATTGCTCGAAAGAGTAGGAATGTGAATGTTGTTTGCACCCACAATGTCCGTTTTCAAAATGGATGCTATACTGCCACTTGTAATTTAAATACAAATCAAATCAAAGGGGTGAGTTTGCTCTTTTGACATCTAAACGAAAACATTTTAAAACACCGACAATAACGTCATGGATATTCTCTTTGAAGGATCCAGTGGCATACTTGCCAAAGGAATTCGAAAGCTAGTTGCTCGGGCTTAATTTCAGCATACCTGACACACTCGCAACAAAGGGGACTCGGCAATAACACTGGATCAGAATATTTCAATCAGACCTTGCGGCATGCAATGTATTGATAACTCCCGGTCCAGTGTCATCGAAGAAAAGAGTTCTGTATAATCAATGATGTAATTCTGGCAGCGCCAAACAGGTTGAAAATCTATTATACAACAATCGTCACTACAAAATCTACCTAAAAAACAGACACGTTTATGTCAGAAATGGGTAAGTATGCCATGCAAAATACCGTAGGATACTTAAATATACCTCACATTTTACTGCCTTTGGGGTTTGTGGAATAATTTTCTAATGTTGGTGCTATGCCAGAAAAATAACATATCAGCGTTATATTTATATTTACAAAATATGTTTGGCTTAAGCAAAGTCTTCATATGCAAATAAGATATAAATTTGTAGAACATACCATACTCAAAATCAAAACTTTATACATAGCTACATGCAATTTCAACTCTTTTCAGCGAAAGATACACAAATAATGCGCACTGACTGTCCACCAAAAGTGCATTCGTGACCTTTAAAACTTCGTGAAGTCAGTTCAGCACGGTCCAAAGGTAGCTCTTTACAAAAGACTCATTTCAAGTTTTAGTGTATGCCTCCCCAAACGGTCCGGAAAGGTTTCAGGTGGTGCTGATTTCTACGTTGAAAAAGTTAGTGCTTTGCTTCCAGCACAGACAATAAATAAATAAACTCTGTCTCCTCGGTGATTCCCGCCAACAGCTGCTCATGTGACTCTAGATATCGGGCCAAAATCGACGAGACAAAGATTTTTGGTGAGTAGCCAAAACAAAAATCCCTCACCTCGGCTTTTCTTGTACATGTACATATTTACCAAATAATTTTGCATAGTCTCAATAACACGTCAACTGCAACTTGAAACTTAATGACATGTTTAAATCGATGGTAAAAGGCCAAACTATCCTTGCACAATGACTTTAGTGCCGATTTATGACAGTATTTTACGAACCCCAGGTTAGCGTCCCTGCACCTCCATCGGTTATCAATGTGACGACACCTAGGCAGACGAGTTGGAGTTCTGGTCCGCCTGCTTGCTCTGGCGGGAAGTGGGCCTCAGCTCCTCTTCATCGAGAGACCCGACTTTGGCGGACTCCCTCTTTGATTTCACGGCAAACACGACGACGATTACGACCACTACCGCAACGGCGGCGACACTGCCCACGACGATGCCCGCGATGGCTCCAGGAGATAGACCTTCTGGATCGGGATTTGGTGCAACTGTGTGATAAACAGTGCATGGAAAACCTGCCTTGCTTACAGTCTATCATGACTAGCCAGACGACTTCTTTTAAATCTTATCTTATCCAAGCGAGACTGGTTGGTTTTCAGCATTAAAAGCGCTCCTGTAGCATTATTTTACGGCCTTTCTGAGGGTTGAGGTTACATTTTGGTGCTTTTTTACAAGCAAGCAAGCAAGGCAAATGGACGAAAAATCTTTCTCTCGTTTTTCCTAAACAATTTTTGGAGGGGGGGATTGCCCAAGCCCCCTGGATCTGACCTTGATTCTTTACAACATTTAGGATTACACTTGTAACTCCTGCTCACACGAGGCAAACAAAGTTCATCGCTCCTATTCCCGTTTGCTTTCGCGCAACTCATGAAACCCACCTAAACTACACAGATGCATCTGCTAGAGTGTTCCTTGCAGGTGGACTACAAAACGTTGCAAAACTAATCTCTCTTTTTGCAACTTTTTTTTTTAAGTTACGCGCTACCACACTGAACACCTCAGCAGCATGTAATCCAAAATTAAAAAGAAAAGAGAGTCTTCAACTTACCTGTGGTCTTGGAGACTTCTGAAAACAAAAGAAACAAAAATACAATTGAACAGTAACACAAGAAGCAAATGATGACCGCTAAATGTCAGGCAAAGCTAAACTGAAATCGCGTTTAGACCTTGCGCAATATACTTAAACCAAAATGACACTTTTTTTACACGTGCATTCCTACGGAGGCTCGATGGATCGCGTCTTACCTCACTACGTAAGCTGCACATGTTAATTAACAAAGCGTGACATCATTATGTTATGGGTCTATTGCTTCCCTTGATTTCACCTATAGGGGCTTGGTGCGGTGTAGCCATCTTGCGGGGCAATCTTTTGCTGCACAAAGAAGCCTTGTTTGTGCATAACCCTTCGGAAAAAAGAACCCTTCTCCAAGACGGGTATCACGCAAAGTCCCCATACTCCAGGACGGGTACCACGCAAAGTCCCCATACTCCAGGACGGGTACCACGAAAAGCCCCCATACTCCAAAACGGGTACCACGAAAAGCCCCCATACAAGTTGATCTTTTCCTACACTTACACTTTCAAGCTGCTTTGTGACAACAAAGTCCACTTGAGCTCAGTAAGCAACGTGTTAGAATAAAAGGCAGCACAACTGATACGCACACCAAAATGGATACACGCCCATATTGGTGACCTCCGGGCTGCACTCTGTATTTTGCGAATGGCTCATTTGTCGATTTTTAATGGATTTGATTTTCATATTTTTTATTGATTGCCTTATTAATTCACTGACGGATCGATTGCAGAGAAGGCTGAAACAGTTTTGCATCAATAAAAGTCTTTGCCATTACCTTTTAGTGTGATAGATGATGTATCAACCTTAAACAAATTTATCCTTGGGTCTGTAGAGTTGGTGAAGGCTCCTTGTAAAACCTCTATTAAATCCTTGGAGATGTCTCCCGTTCCAACAGGAAATCCAAGCTCAAATGTTGCTACGATGCTCCCTGATGCAAACTTGGTGACTTTACAATTTTCCAAATTTTTTCCTGTGTTGGAGTCTTTGACGGCAGTTTCAACCTGGCGAAAAAAACATAGCAAGCAAATGTCCTGTAATGAAAAACTGTCGAAAACATGCCGCTGGTCGTTCGTAGTCACCGCACAGTATCATTAATGCAACACAGTTTCCAATTCATCACCATCAAGTATCAAAGTAGCACTGCTCAGTATTAATTTGACACCACAAAATGTCAATCATACACCACATTTATAGGCAAGTCCCAGGCGTTTGGCTGTGTATGCAAAATTGTTGCGGTTATTAACATCATGGTCGCTCTTTTCGCGGGCTCCAGAAGATGTGTCCTTATAAAACCACAACTCTGAGAAAATTTTAACATTACCTGGAAACAGAATGTCCCGTCAAGAGTTTGTGAACAATTGTAAAAGGCTCAATACTTACGGCAGTGCACACATCCTCGCTCAACTCCTTGTAGTCCTGAGAGTTTGAGTTTCCGTAATCGCCAGCGTTGAAGTCCGCTTTTGTCCCATTAATTTCTTCGATTTTCATTTCCCCCTCAAAATCCTTGCGGGCTGAAAGAATAATTGGCAAATGTTTCCTCAGGTCCCATAGTGAGAAAGCGATGAAGGCAGGGAAAATTTTTGCTGGGTTGAAATACATTCTTTACCTTGAACAAATCAAACACACACCCACACAAACAGCCAACAATCAAAGCAATAAACACTGAGGCAGAAGTTTTTATACTCACGGGTTTCAGTCGTAACTTTCGCAGTGGGTCGTGGTGTTGTTTCTCCTGGGATGCTCCCTTCTGTATAAGTTTACGGTAAGACAGGGTTAACGTAAAATAGAACCCGCAACATTTGTCTCTCTGTTCATTGCACGTTTAAGGTCTACTTTTGTATTTTTTTCTCTTCGCCTAAACTTCAAGCTGCCTCGTGGCATCAATTTTCCAACACGACTGACTTCATGAGGTAAAATCTGACTCCCCTCAAGAAAGGTCTGACGAGCAATTTCCCATTCCAATCGATAACTTCTTTACAATATCCGTCCTTGTTATCTGTGTGGATTTATTTCGATAGGTTAACTGACTGTAAAACGTCCCAAGAGGCCTTGCTTTATTACAAAGTCTTGACCACTACCTGAAAACTTAATGGATGACGTATCAACCTCGAGGATATTTATTCTTGGGTCTGTGGAAGTGGTGAAAGCATCCTTTAAAATCTGGGTGAGCTCCGTAGAGATGTCTCCAGTTTCCCCAAGAAATCCTAGCCGGAATGTGGCCACGATACTTCCTTTTGTAAACTTGGTCACTGAACAGTTCACCAAACTCCCCCCTTTGATAGAGTCGTTGACAGCAGCTTCAACCTGGCGGGGAAAATTACAACAAAGAGATACACCTCAAGGCAAAAATTGGAGTGTAGAATTGACACCCTAAGGAGTTTTTCCTACACCGGTACGTGTCAGTGCTGCAACACAGTTATTACACAGTGTGTATCCGAAAAGGTAGACTCTTAGAAACCATTAAAATAACATAGGACCAAGTTTCAAAATATGGTTGTATAACCCGTGATGGAGGGTGTAGTTCTGCTTTGATTGATGACAGTTCACATAATTTTTATACTTCAATGAAGAGCGAAAGGTTGAATTTTGGAAACTGAAAGTCTATTACGCACGGGTGTATGAGGGTCAAAATGAGATTTGTCAGATTGAATAAAAAGTTTAAAAAAGGTGTTTTCGTTGCACAAATAAAATTTGAAAAAAAATAATAAACCCTTTACATTTCTCGATGAATTTGATCCATCACATACACCCGTGCGCAAGAGACTTTAATTAAAATTCAAAGTTCAAACTTCCCATGCTCATTGAAGCGTAAAATGTGAACCACGAAATTAGCATCAATCCAAGCAGAACTACCCCTTCAACAACGGGTACAACCAGATTTTTGAAACTTGCCCTCCGTCATTTTCATGGTAGTTTTTCTGAGAGTCTATACACCCTGTAGTGACAAAGTCATGAAAGCATTCAGTGTGACTTGAATTCAGCAACCCTAATATTAGTCCAATTGATTATGCTGCAGAAGTAATGACATCACTCTTTACCAAGACTCAAGGGAAGCGTTCTCAGGGAGTGAGAACTCCTTGTCAGAAAACTTGAATTTTGGCTGAACGGGAAGCAAAATATGAAAACAAGTTTTATGGATGACGGTTCCGTGTCACTGCTTTCAAGGAATAGCCAACTTACAGCGTTGCAGAGTTTTCCACTCAAATCCATGTATTCCATCGAGTTCGGGTCTTCATAATTACCAGCGCTGAAGTCCGCCTCTGTTCCATTAATTGTTAGGATCCTTATTTCACCCTCAAACTCCTTGCGAGCTGAAATAATCAATATCAGGTGAGTTTTCTCAGATGTGTTCCCCAAGAGAGAAACGATAATTGCGTTGGAGAGTCATAGGTGAGTCGGGTGTGGAAAAAATCAACCCAATGGATACAGTTTTACTTTGTTACCGGCTGTAACAGGAAAATGAGAGCGGTCTATCATGCACTCACGCGGGGGTTTAGTTGTAGTCGCTGGTGTGGTCGGGACCCCGGTAGGTCGCGTTGAGGATGCGTCTGATGTAGCCCTTCCTCCTGTAGTTTGCACTGCATCTGACGTAGCCTTTCTCTCTGTAGATGAAGTTGAGGGAGCGTCTGATGTGACCCCTCCCGTTGTAGCTTGAGTTGATACGCCGTCTGTTGAGCCTATCCCGGGAGACGTTACTGGTGTGGTCATCAGTTCGGTACCTGCTTCAGTGGTTCCTTCTGTAAAACTCATCATTGATGTTGCGGTAGCATCATCTGATATCATCGTCACTGTGCTTGCTGTCTGCGCATGGGTAGGGATTCCTAAATAATTAATTAATATGTGAAAATGTCAATGAGATAATCATGGAAACGATAAGCTGTTTGAATCCAAACCATTTTTATAATCAGAAACCCCAAGAAGATAATTCACATAAAGCATAAGGAACAAAAGGGCTATATTCAGTGGGAAACACAAAGACTCTGCCGAAGAGATGCTTTGATTGCTCTGTTAATATTTGCAGTGAATGAAAATTGGAGTTCAACAAGCTGCTCATCTGCACCATGATAAATGAACATGTATCGGCAATCAAGTATCTGCCTAAGGTTGTAACTGGGGAGATCAGCACAAGGATATTAGACCCAGGAGCAATTTTCCTTTGTCGAACAGCACTAAGACCATCCTGATTATCCTATGTAACTAAGTCTCTGCCACGGAAAGATTGTATATGATCGGATTCCGTATCAGAGTTGTGACGAGTCATTAATATTTGTGACTCGAGTTGATTCATCAATTAAGCAAAAAAAGGTTGATCAGAGTCGAGTATTTTTCCCGAGTCAGTTTGAGTGATACAATGTGATGTATGACACAACTTTGACTAGAGTCGGTCTCCAGTGAAGACATTGACTCGAATCATTGTACTAACTATTACTTACCCATGACACACACCACGATAAGAAATACACACACCGGAAACTTGAAGGTGTCCATTGCAAGATGTTGAGATGATAAAGCTAGAAAGGGAAGGGAAAGCCGACCTTTTCGTGGTAAGTGAAACAAATTTAGTACTTTGTGTTTGTTAACTTTTAGAAACTTTACGATCGTGTACTGTTTATCATTATTCAATGTTTTCATTAGTAGTCTTACAAAATGGAGACAGCAGACGTACCAAACTTTATTAGGAACTCAGCATTCTTCAGCTTCTTTATCGTATTGTGGACTATTGACCTTCTCCCCCAAAAGAAACCAATAGCAGGGCCAGCTTTTTTCAATCCCGTTTTTTTTCGTTGCCAACGCCAGTGTATGGGTTACACTGAACTTTTTCAGAGTAGCAAGTACCTGTTTTTTACGTTTGTGAAACCGTGTTGAAGACTTCCTGAGGTAACCTTTTAATCTACAGTTCCTTCGTCCAACAAATTTTATTTTTGTGTCTTTGAATACAGGAAACATCAACGATTGCTGGGAATTAAAAACAAACGAACGACGATCCTGGTGCAACATTAGAGTAAACAGTTTCTCCTTCCTTTTTTATCACAAAAACCTGGACGCTGAACATTTTCACTTGTCTTTTCACAATATTTCCCAGACCGACCTTTTATCTTACCATAGTCTTCAAAGACCCATTTACAGTCGAAAACTTTGTATTTTGCAGCTGTTACCACCGGGCTTCGCCCTTGCTCAGTATTCCGTCATTCAGTAAGTCTATGGTCAGAGCAAACTATTTTAGAAATTCGTTGCTACAACAAAACCTTATTGTAGATACGTGTCACGACAACGCAACCTACACGTGCATACAATTGAAGAGTCGTTATCCTCTGCATATCATTTATCATCCTTTACACATTTGATCCCATTATTGAATAGGTTCTAAAGTCCTTCGTTTCCAAATTAGGCTTGGGAGCAGTGCAAACCCCTTTTGTGACCCAGAGTTCCATCGTTTTGATCACGAATTACCACTCCTTTTCGTGATTACGAGTTTGTCTGTCGCTGGAGTCGCCGGGCAACGATAGAAAACTTGGCAAATATCACACTAAATGCGCACGTAGTCATCAATTGAGTGTTGAAAAAAGTCATGCTAAGCACTCGAACTGTCTTTCCTCTACATATCCCTGGCGGTATTCTTGCAACCTTTTCTTTATTCCAATTAACCTTTTTCAAGGAGGTATTTCTAGGTATAATGCTATGTTTTCTTCGGTGCGAAGACGCGGTTTTAAATTTCAGGTTCAATAAAGTTTTAAGGAAATAAACTACAGAGAAAAACTGACTATCATTATTAATGATTATTGACTATTATTGATTATCAGTAGTTTGCATTTATCCTATTAGTCGGCGATTTGCTTTGAAGCCTCTGCTGATCCCACTAACGAACACGTGCTCACTCTGCTCCCTATTATTTCGTTCTAAAGGTTCGCAGGTGAATTTCAATCTATTTTTGAAATCATCCCCTTGTTTTCGAAAGAAACCTGTTGAACAACAGGAGACTACTTGTACCTGAAGACTAATAGGCGTCCATATACAACGGGTAAAATGCTTGGTTTTCAAACCATGCGCTAAATTTTGTCATCATTAGAAGTTTCAGGACACGTTAGGATCAGCGATCGAAGGAAATGCCATAGCCCACATTTACATGTACTTACTGCACAGTATGCATGCTCCATGTATGTTTGTAAGAAGCAGTCTCGTTGATAGAATTTGGTGGAGCCACAAGTTAAAAGTGGACAAACTGTTTTGTACATTAATAGCTCCTATCAGAGCAAGCTGAATTATTTCCATTTGTTAAAAACGTTATCACTGTACATGAATTGGCTTTTGTTTAAAATCTAGCTCCTTGATCAATTGGGTAATGACTCAGGCTTGATTAAACCCCAAGATACCACGGATATTTCGTTACTGGTTTTTGTTTCACAGCATAGTGACCAGAATTTCTAATCCGAATAAAATGAAGGGGAAACAGTCGATTAGGCCAGTGCAATTTTTTAATCCAGAGGCTGAGCTGGATTTGTAGTTACAAATGTGCACCAATTATTCTTAAAAATACTTTAGACACTGAGGTGTTCTCGTATTTGAAATGTTATTTAGAATGTCAAAGAAATGGGCAAAATCTAAATCAGTTGAAAACAAATGAAAATATGAAAATTTTTGGCCATTGCCAATTGTTTTCAATTTTGACTAAAACATTTTTTTTTAATTATTTGAATTTAAGCAGGCAAACCAGGAAGCCGTTCAAAATGATTGGGACCGTGTACTCCTAACCAGCATTACAACTCACTCGGAAACTTTACAGAGAATGATAGAGACGAGTTTAGACAGGTTTTTAAGAGGAAATTGTAATCGCCATTCATTATGATGTCTTTTCTAAAAAAGAGTTATTTTTACCAAGAGTTGACAATTAATTCATAATTTATGATTTTTGACCAATTTATGATTGCAGGACTGCAAATCTTTCCCTCGAAGGTACAGTTTTTGTATTACAAAGACATTACCAGGAAAACTCACTGTACTCCGATTCAGTCAGAAATTCAATAAATTACAAACGTTGCTAACCATAAAATAATTTATCGATAAATAAAGTAAGGCCAGGCGTCGACTTACGGTTTCTGGAGTTGGTCTAGCCAAGTGCCTCTGAAAGCTCTAACTGTCCTCTTGAAATCAGTCCTGATATCCGAAACCAACCAAAGACCACAAGGTTTGCTGTTGTGACGAGAAGTGTTGGTCGCTTATAACGTTTCAATGATTGACGTTGCTATTAGCGCAAAATTATTTGCTCTTGCTATAAATTACCTTCCTATTGGCTATCTACGTTTCAAGTGGTTGGTGAGTCCGCACGTGACAAGGAGCAATGCTTTCCATTGGACGTTATCCTGCGTGCTGTAGAGTTGCACTGGAACTGCGCGCTAAAGGGAATTTACATTGGAATAACTTTTCACTTCAAAGGTTTTCTGCGATAAGCCTCGAAAATAAGATATTTTTTCTTCTTTTCGAATTTATGTTTGAGTAGCTGAAAAGTGTATATATTTCCACGACGGAAGACCTACTCCCCGGGCACTCCAACTACCATCGTATATTACTTGTTTTTTCTATGTTAAACGCTATAGTTTAACAATTGTGTGTATCGGGTCAGGGTTACAGAGCCATAACACACATTTCTTTCGCCATCGTTACACGTCATGGCTCTCGCAGATCGGACAGGACGGACGCACTGTTCGTGTTATCACACTTTGACCGCCTAAGATCAAATAGGCCGTGTTTCGGAGCCTTACAGGAGCCCTGCGATGCATCAAGTATATATTTTCAAAAGTGAAGTACTTTTTTCGAAGTTTGATTTCGCACTTTTTCCGACTCCGTTTTGATGAGATCTATTTTTCCAAAGTTTGTTTGTTCGAGACACACGTTCTCTAGTTTCTTCTGCAATTTATGACTTTATGACTAAAATTTTCTTGTACAGCTTTAAACGAAAGCTATCATTATCACAAAAAGACAAGGACATTTTCAGGAGAACTCATTTCACTCTGATTCAGCCAGAAGTTCACAAAAACACAAATATCGTTTGCGATAAATTAGTTTATAGATTGATGAAGAAAGGCCAGGCGTCGACTTACAGTTTTTGGAGCTCGTCTTGCCGAGTGCTTCTCAACGGGCTAACCTTCTTCTTGAAAGCAGTCCTGATATCTAAAACCACTCAAAGACCAACAAGGTTTACTGTTGTGGCAAGCAGTGATGTTCATTTGTGACGTTTCTGTGACAGACTTTGCTATTAGTGAATGCTATTGCTAACTAATTACAGATGTACTTTCCTGTTGGCAGTCTACGTTTCAGGGAATGATGAGTCCGCAGGTGACAAGGTGCGTCCTTCCCATTGCAAGGTACATACATTATTCTGTATCCTGCGTGATGTAATGTTGCACCGGAACTGCGAGATTACGGGCATTTATATTCGGAAAACTTTGTGACACCTCCAAAAATATGCTCTTTTTACTGTTTATTCTATTAGTTGCTGGGATTTACAAATTTCCACGATAAAAGACTTACTCATGCGGACATTGGCACTATCATGTAATGTTTTAGGGTTCTCTTTGTGTTAACCCATTATGTCATACCCACATACAAACGAATATCTCACACTTAACACTCTTCTGAGTATGAGCGCTCTTGCGCTCACAGATAAGACAGAATAAACGCATTGTACGTGTAAAGTAGCGCGGTCCATCTCAGATGAAACACAGCGTATTTCAGTGCCTGAGCTATCACGGACACAGGAATTGACTTGTGTGATATAATAGGTCAGCCCATGTGTTAAAAGACTGAGATTCTTTTTAAATCACAACATAGCCAAAGGCATATCCCGCAGGGGATGGGAACCGAAACATGTTGCCCCACACATACCTGTTTTACAAAGAAAGTGTGGACTTTCCTTTGTTCTCCTGTGGCTAAGGAAACTTGAGGAAAATGCTGCTTTTTCTCTAACTAGGATAACTCCTTCAAGCTGGATTTTTTATGGTGATTCCCTGGACTGTTCCTCTTCATTTTGCCACGGATAACCTTAACCCCAAACTGCCTCTGAAACTGTCTTTTTTTCAGAGCCGGAGAACGTTGTGTGGACGTGTACGAGTCCACACTACGCCATCGCACCCTACATTATGTGGACTTCTTTTGTGCAGAGGTCCGCACTGTGTATGGCATGCCTGCACAAAGTTGTATGTGTGCGTTTGTTTGTTTATTTGCTTTCTAGAAAATTGAATGCGGCAGCATTTTAGCGATTTAATTATTTGTATAATTAATTTTTTCTTCAAAGGGAAGGATTAAAACATTGGACAATCTTGAATAGGCTGATCAAGAATGTAATGTAATCAATCAGAAATCATATTCAATCAACAATTATATACATGTACAATATAACTCTTTATGTTAAAACAATGAGCTTGAGAATATCTTTAGCATACAGTTCCTGATTCCCACTTTTATATAAACCATATCGGATTTTCCAAGCAAGAAAAGCCAAAACAAAAAACAAACCAAAAAAAGAACAAGAAATGAGATTTTAATGTCTTTATACAAAATACAATTACGAAAATACAGACTCTGATCGCTCTATGTGTGCCTCATTGGTATCTTTCGTACTACTATATCCTACCGCCAGACTCGTAAAAATCACTTACAGGAGCCAAACATGAGTTTTGGGTAAAATACTTTATTAACTTATATGTCACAGGTGTTACTCTAAGACAGTATACGATTTTCAACACCAATCAATTCTTGAATCATCTATGAAGAGTGCAAAAGGCATCGAAAGACATTGGTATTTTGGTTTTCCTCTGTTTATCTTATCAATGTTGTACGGAATTATAAATTGCCCGTTTTTACTCGATAATTTGTTGCGATATTCAATGATAAACGTCGACACACGGAGTTCATCCAGCCAGGTGTAAGGTAGAGCCCTGCAGCTACCACCTGAGGTCGTCAGCAATGGTGGACATGCCATCCGTCTGCTACTGAGCCCTCTCACCTGCGGCACATTTGTCACTGTTGGACTGGTTTCTCACTGAATTTCATGTTTCTAAGAAATAACATCATTAAAGTTTTGTTTCCAAAACTGATTATTGCGCAGTTTCCGTGCTTCCCAGATGACCACGAACTCTGTGTCACTGAAATACTTTATCTTTGAATTTCCTGTTTCTGAGAAAAATGATGAAATTTTAGTACCAATAACGTGGAAAAACAGATGACAAATCCAGCGTACATACGTCTGTAAAACTGCATCAAAACTGTGGATGAATTTACACATTTTGGAATGCTGCATCACACACAAAACAAGCAACACTTTGGGTTTCGAGGGAAAAGGAAATGGCTTTAAGGAAAGCTGCATTATTCCAAAGGTATTCCTAAATATCTTTCATATCAAAATACTTCTCATAGATAAAGACTCTGTTTATATTTGCAACATCTTTCACCTATCTAATTAGATAAACATAATATTATTTACAAAGTAGTATCCCGGGCGAATCCAGAACAACCTTCTTGGGGTCCAAATTGTTTTCGGGGGCCATTTGTTAAATGTAATCTTTCATGGCTTTTCTAAATGATGAGACTTTTTTACAACCTTCTAGAAGGAAGAAAAATGAACATACCGACATATTGCAATTTTTTTCAATTAACTCTTAACAAAAAGGGAGCTCTTTTTAGGGGAGGGGCAGAACCCCTGTTGCCCCTAACCCGACTGTCCATTAAGTTTGCGTGGCATTACAATGTATATACAAACGAAACTAGCTTTCATTTAGAGCATTATGACAACATCCCTTTTTATGTAAATTAATGAAAATATTTTCTAGACCGATTTCATTTTCCTCAACGGAATTCTCTTGAAGTAGATTCCAGGGTATTCTAGTTGCATTTTTGACTCACAATGTACATGTACGGTAGCCCATGAAAGACAACAGACATCGCATTTCACAGGGATCCTTATGTTATGTGTCAAACGTTTCTAAGCATGCCCATCCACACTTATGAACATCCCAAAAAAATCAATGTTTTGCTCATCAAAAAGTCTCTGGGTTTCCATGAATGACTTTTTTCACGCAAAGTAGCTCATTATGAAGTTTGTAATAAAAATCAGGGTTGTTTCGGTGATTTAATTGACCGATGAAATCGAACTTCATATTATGATTTCATCTTTCAATTTTTATATTCGTAAAAGTTAATTTATGATACTTTTTCCAAATACATGTATGTTGTGCTATGCTACCATACAACTGTTTTAAAATAGCCACAGTAATAAAGTTTCAAACTCAAAAACCAACAGCGGACTTGAATGTATGTACACAAAAATAGTTTCAAATGAAATGTTGTAAAGGGAAAGGCACTATAACTTTTTATGCGGTGTTGTACATGTTCAATGTGCACGCTGGTCTAAACAGGGATTACTTCTAATAAGTGCACAAGCTCAAATCAAGGATATGAAGTGTGTGCATTCGTTTTTAATTCCAACAGCCATAAATGATCAATGCCTCTTTGCGCCTGCCCTCGGTTCTTGGTCCTAACACCGGTTCGATCTGGTGTTGTCCTTCCCCATCCACCCCTATCCACCCCAACTTGCCCCATGCAGTTGTCACAACAAAACAGTCTCGATTCTGAACGAACTCATCTTTGGACGGAATCCCCATCTGCAATATGATTAGGCAAGGCAGCCATAAGGCTACATGGATAGATAGGTTGTTAATTTACTTGGAATTAAGGGTATACGGAATGCTAGTTGCAAGGGGACGCCAATCTGAAGAAAAGAAGTGAATACTTTTGCAGAACCAGAGAGAAAATGTTGCAGAAGTCTACATTTTCAATAAGCAGCTGACTCCTGACCCATTATGCTCATGATATGAGCGCATAATTACGAATTTATTAGCGAAAAGATCCATTACTTGCTGAATGTCATTAGCATAATGATTTGAAAACAGAATGTTTTTTTCATTGTGTGTGAATGAACAGTAGGCCTACCCCGGCAGCGCATATCACATTGCCACCTTTTGTCGTCGCTCTTCCGTGTAAACAGGCCCTAGGCACGAATCTCTATATTATTGGGACAAGTTCATCCACCGCTATATATAGGCACGCTGAAATCTGCCATTGTTGCTACTCGTGGTGACTGGCTGGCTGGGGATTGGTGTCCTCGCTGGCCACTTTGGCTCCGCTGCCTTTCATCTTCATCACGACGAAGACCACGACTACCATGAGGATTAGTGCCAATAGGACCGCACCCACCACGATACCAGCGATAGCCCCCGGGGAGAGTCCGTCCATAGACGCAGGCTGACCTTCTGCGGAGGCATGTACAACAAAATAACCGTTGTGAATCAATGTGAAACACCTCTCTCTCGTTCCCGCCGCCCTTGGGCCTTACGGAGTGCTGGAATGGGCAAATCCCTTTCACAACTTCATGCCGTGGTCACGGCTATGAGTCATAGCACTGTGGCTGCTTTGCTGCTCTTACATGTAAATTCAGGAAGCTGGCACGGATGTTGACGTCATTGGTTTCGGGGTGTAAAATACAAATTGACCAACTCAAAGAAATGCGAGGGCCTATCCAAATGGCATCCAATGAGGGGGATCCAAGAAATGATATCCCGAAAGGATTAGCCCGTTCCAGTGCTGTTTAAGGGCGGCAGGGGTAGGCGAAGTGGAACACTTGTTGACAGTTGCAGACGGTTGAACCGTCTACAGTATGTAATCTATTTGAAGAACTGAAAAGGGTTGACTGTGTAAGGATGTGGTACAAGCTTGGGGACTAGCTGAAATGGGGCAAAGTTGCCTGTCACCTTCTTCGTTCCTTATTATTTCTTATTCTTTAAAGGATGGTTGAAGAAAAGAACCTTTATTATCAGTGAAAGGTCACCCACAGAGAAGATTACGGCATCGCAACAAAGATATGAAAATAAGTATGGTAGTTCCCATCTTTTTGTGCTGTTGGTATAGTTTTTCACGTTGGGCGAAAAGTCAGACGCGTCAAATTAATTTTCACATTTACCGAACTTACTTGTTGGTGTTACAGTGCCGGCACCGGTAGTTATAACAGGGGCTTGGGTAGTCGGTAGAATTTCTAGAGTGTTTGGGAAGAAAGATTGACTGACTTGAACATAAACAGCTGAGCTGAAATGATAGAAAATGCAGTCAATTTAAAGATAATACTTTATACAACACTTGGGTGGATTTGACACACCACGCAGCGTAGTGCTAATGTCTTTGCCGCCCCCAGATTACAGCTGAGAAAAAGTTTTAGAATAATCATGGGTTTATCCAGTAGGGGGCACAGACCAAGGCAGGTGGAGGGACACCATATTTGTGACCTCTGTGAAAAGTGTCACAAGTCTCTTGAGCTACTTTTGAATTTTAATTTGTATTAGATCGGGGATTTTGAGCTCTTTCTTTTGATGCGTCACTCAGTTTGGTACAATGAAAATGGACGTTGTGTAGGTGTTAAAATGTTGAGGATTCCTTTACTTAAACACTGTGTAAGATTCTTTCAAAGTGGCTCTGACATGTGACTCATTTTCACAGAGCGGGTCGCATTTTAGGGATTGAGAGCTCCATTAGTTGAGAAAACGGTACTACATCTTTCTTTCGGGTGGGGGATGGTCAGGGAGGATTATTCCCCCAGCCCCAACCTTAGACCTGGATACGCAACTAAAAGCATTACTAGTTCATTAGCAAGCCCTACACCCACAAAATGAGCCCCTTGGTTATCTGGCCAACTTGATTCTATGAGCCGCGTCTTGTGTGAAAAAATGACGATTTTGAGTTTGCATTTCGGGATATAGAACCCATGTCACCAATTTCCAACGAGGAATAGTTTGGCACGAGTCGACACGTACGACTCACCTACGGCCCTGATCGACTCTAGGTCCACCCCAAACTGCTTGATGAGTGGGTCGGTCGAGTTAGCAAACGCTTCTTTTATCTTCTCAAGCAGTACAGTCGAAGTCACACTCGACTCTGGCGGGAATTCTAGTTGGTAGACCGCCACCACGCTGCCACTCTTAAACTCAGTTACTGTGCAACCTGTTACCGCAAGACTTGACTCGTTTGTAGCAGCTGTGACCTAGATGGGGGAATGTTGAAGGCTGGCTCTTTCAAAATCATTCTACCATGGGTGCACGCGCGGTGTGGTTATTGTTTCAATATTTTGTTTTTAAATCTGGGACTTGCATGTGGGCTGGGTTTGTATTTAGTGTGTAACTTATTTTGATTTTGCATGAATTTTAAATCTGTGGTTACACAGCTGGCATGCAAATTTTCCATTTTATTGGACAACAAAGATACAAAAAATGACTGACTTAAGTTGGATCCGCCATTTTAGAGTCAGGTAGAAAATGAAAATAGACACTCTTTTAATAGGTAGCAGCTTTAAGAAATTGAGATCGAGTTTGATTTCGGGGGAAAAAATGCACTTTGGAGGAAGCTAAACGGTTGCTCGATTTGTAATCACTTTTTAGCACGGCAAACGTTTGGGGTGCAGACGGACCTGGATACAGCAAACAGCTGAATGCATTTATTGGGGCTTTCTGGGAAAAAAAATTGCTAGCTAAAGTATCCCCTTCCTCATGGGGTGTGCAGTGATAGCAACTCCAGATGGGTCCGGAGTACAGGTTGGAGCATAATGAGGTTAAAGCGCCCGACGCTAATGCGGAAGGTTGTGCAGTGTCAATATACACACAAATGCAAAATCGAATGGAACTCACTGCAGTGCACACTTTCTCGCTCAGTTCTTTGAATGCGGCGGAGGATGAATTTGCCAAGTCTTCTGTGAAATTAGCTTGCCCGTTGCCAATCTCGGTAATTCTCATGTTGCACTCAAATGTCTTCGGAACTGGGAAAGAAACATTTTGCAATGAATGAGCATACGTGAATGTGTAGATAGCCTTGAAAAAGCAAAAGATGGTCGGATGGTTTAAACTGTCCACCGCTTAAACAGTTGATAAATAACTCGGGCCCATTCTCCATGTTGGTAATGTGCAGTTTTAGGTTTGTTCTTAGTCGCAAAACGATTATTCATATTCATTCACGAAACCAATTTTGTAGGGACTTTTTATACAAAATTCACCCCAGTTTTTCCTCAGATATAGTAATCAACCTGAGCATACAAGAACGTTTGCCTGGGGGTACAGTGCTGAGTGTTAAATTCCTGAGCCAAATCTCATTACTTGTATGGAAGGAGAAAAGTCACTGCATGGGATGAGCGTTTGTTGGTGTGTTCTTAAACTCACGAGGAGCTGCAGTTGTGACATGTTTTGTGGTGTGTGATGGTGTTGTCCCTCCAGACGTCGAGGCAACAGCTGCCGCTGAGGTTGCATCAGTAGTAGTTGATGAAATCCCCCCAGTAACGGCCACCGTAGTCTTCTCATCGGCAGCTGCTGTGGTGGTTACCTCAGCACCTGTTGCTGCAGTCCCCGTGGCCAGTGTCTCAGTTGCTGCAGCCGTCGGCTGAGCACCTGTTGCTGCAGTCCCCATGGCCAGTGTCTCAGTTGCTGCAGCCGTCGGCTGAGCACCTGTTGCTGTAGTCCCCGTTGCTTCTGCCTCAGTCGCTCCCTCGGTTGCTGCAACCGTTGCCTCATCACCTTTTGGCGTAGCTGCGGTGTTGGCTCCCGCAGTATTTGCCTGTGTGGCTGCTGTTGTCGCGCCTGTTCCCTCACCAACGTTAGCTGCCGTGGTTCCAACTTCCCCAGTTGGTCCATCCGTTGCTGTGGTCGCAGCAGCAGCAGTCCCCGAAGTTTCTGTTCCGCCAGCCGCTGTAGTTTTCCCACCGCCAGCAACTGTTGCGGTCTGAGCGTCCGTTCCTCCACTGTGAGAAATTGCTGTTGTATCGCGCGACGTTGTTGCATGGATAGTTGACCCTGCACCAGGCGTGCCTGTTACTGTATTTGTTGCACTGTTCGCTTCTGTTGTCGCCGTACCTCCTTCGGGGGTAGTTGAACCTGTAGCATGGTTGAAAAAGTAAGTGTTATAGTTGCACGGGATAATTTTTCAGTGCAGGTTTGGGGAAAATCACCGCATAAATGAACTCGGTAGCGCTTACCCGCGTATAGTCTAGATTTGTTGAGAGAAAAGCAAGACTGATTAGTAAGAGCATGTAACCTCTCGAACATGGAATGGTATGCACAAGCATACATCTACCGGGGTAGTAGCCGGAACCGAAGCTGAGTATAAGTTACATTAGCTTCCTTACCTGTTGGTAAGGTTGCTGCCTCTGTTGCTAATGTTGCATCTGTTGTGGCTGCTGTGACAGCTGTTGTGTCTTCTCCTACTGTAGTCGACGTGGTGGCCTCTGCAGGTGTGGTAGCCGTTGTCTGGTCCGTTGTTTGGGCATACGTTTCTTAGAGATGAGCCATGAAAGACAAAGTGCAGAGAAATTAGCTTAAACTTTCCAAGTTTAATGAACAAGAGAGAAATTAAAATGACAAGGAGAGACTTCTACCGTAGTTGCAAAATGGGGTGAACACACTATATAAAAAGTGTCGAGTGTACTATCATCAATACAGATAGAATGACAGCAATCAGAGACCAGTTCACACGTTATCAGTCTCCTCGATGCTTTCATTGTGTCACAATGCAGCTTAGTCATGACTTTGGCAAAAACTCCTGGAAGCCTAGATGTATGTAGCAGTTATTTCAATTTAAATAGTCTAACTCTAAGTTAACCATGAGAGCCGGTGGCGGAGTCCACCCCCCCCCTGACATATTCTCGGGTATTGTTGCAGTTCCTTTCTCCGCAGTTTGACACCAGATTTGTGGAAATCTCAATGGGACGTTTGTTTTACGGAGACAAGTTCTCCAAAAGACCAACCTTTCCACTAACGTTCTCAATGGGGGCAGGGCCGACAAGCGTGAGGCAATGCACTCGGAATAACCCATGTTGTCAATTGAAACTTCACAGATGTACTTCTTGAGGTCAATACACGTATTTTATGTTTCAAAAATATCAAGTGTAAGACAGCCGAATTGGATCAATCATTTTACATAGTTCAAAGGTCTTGTTGAAAGGAAACTACCCTATAATGTAACGTGTGAAATATGTGACTGGGATTACCACTTGCCCATCATGCACTTGATTCTCAGGAGTCGAAATTTGACTTTCAAATGTCTTTCTCGACAGTCACACTAAAAACCGCACATTTTGTGTGTTTTTTTCTTTTTTTAGTGTATTAACAATAATTCTACTTTTTACTGATCTTCCAAAATATTATCATTTCCCCGGGGAACATGTTTTATAACACAAAAGGACACAATCCGGGACGATGAAATGAGTGAACTGTGAAATGTTTGAGCTGAAGTGACATCAGGTGTTTTATTCTTGAATGATTGTCTGCTTGAAAAACCACAATGGCTTAATGGTGTGTATCTCTGGTGCTCCAAGCTATATTACATTATCTCACCAATTACAATATCGGTGAGCTAACGTAAGCAATGGCACAATCATTTCTGGAATATGCCGTTCCATGTTCAAATTTGGCCATTGTAGGTGTAATTCGTCTGAGCTGTTCCTTCCCTGTCGAATTCAGGGACTGAACTCAGATTTCATTTCATTAAATGTGCATTTAATGCTTCTGCTATATCAAAAAGTTCTTTGCTTTTGCATTTCGTTGTGTCCTCAAGCAATATTCAACACAGTCATGAAGTTGACCAGAAGCTCTTGAAAGCCAATGGACGTATGTAACAAGCAGTTAATTTCAATTTTAAAATTAAAAATTTAATTTTAAGTTAATTTGCAACATTAAATTTATGACGGAAACCATAAAAATTGGCAAGCACAGCATAATTTTCTTCTGAGTAAAAACAATGATAAAATAAAGACGAAAATGTATCGGAAAAACTTGAATAACCCTTTCACGTTTCCTTTGCTGTGTTTTTATGTGCCAAGAACGAGCCTCACGTTTGTTTTTTACGAAACATAAAAGTGAAATGAATAACTAATGTATCTATGAATACCAAGCAAAGGAGAGAGCGGTGGAAAATTATATGTAGAGCCTATGTGAGACCTTTATGCGCTGTTCGTAGGATGTCACAATGAGGTTTTGCAATTATGACAAACATGTGTTATGTGATAAAAAATGTTTTCTGCCTAAACAAGACAAAATCGAAAGCCCCTTGCTGGAAATTTGTGCTCCAGGTTTGAAATCAATTGTAAAACAACTGAAAGTGTTTAACAGATGGCGACTTTTATTGATTCCTCGGGACGAATTATACAATGGAAATATGTGAATTTGCATATTTAAAAAAAAATCCTGTAAACCTGTGTACATAGGGGTCTTTAAAACAAAGCTTATACTCACCTGTAAAACACGCTATTACAGCAAGGAGAGAAAGCATTGTTTTTACATCCATGGTGATCATCCGTTCCGATGAAAACCTAGTAAAAGAAAGACACGAAGACTCTTTTTTTATACTCAGTTAGAAGGGCTATTCGAAATTCCCCCCAATTGATACAATAATTTTATACAGTCATCAGAGTAAGACGATTTCATTTCAGGAGAAAAACCTTCATTGATCTTTACACTAGTGAAATGAGTGTCAGTCTTTTGTTACATTTAAGCAATGGTTGTGTTAAAAGGAATATACAATGATCGGTGTTGGTCTCTGAAAAGGAATAATAGAAATGCCATTAAGACGTTTCTTGACTAAAAATGTTGTGAGTTAATGAGTATGATGTACAGTAACTTGCATCATGTTCGTGCCCCTCACTTAGTTGTGCGCATGCGCACTGAATCCACTATAGCGACAGAAGCTGGTGAAATGGCTCTTGACTCGGGCAGGTTGACCCCAAAAGTAATCGATCAACATCAAGCTCAGATAAAGTTGTTTGCCCCTTTTTTCCACACCGATTAGAATTTAAACACTTAAAGTCCCTTTTGATAACTGGCACACTATAAAAATCCATTTTTGTCAAATTTTTGCCCGTTTTTGTCACTTACCTCCAAAGTAACAGAGTCAGAAGTTGAAAGTGAAGCCAACATTTCAGAGGTTTTTTCAGTTTTGCCGAAATGAGTCTCTGACATTTCTCTACTTGTGAATGGTGAAGGATATCATAAACACTAATGAGAAAGTATCATGCAAGAAGGAAACCGTATGGATGAGAACGGAAAGTTTGGTTTGTGACTTTTAGTCGGGCAATTTGACGTGTATTCATGGTATTCGTGCAATGAAATAGGTCAACTCGTACCCAAACGCACTCATATCCAGGTATGTGTACGTGTGCGCCATGTCCATAATCCAGACATTTTGACCGCTGCCAAACTCAGAGCGGAAATTGGGCACTAAGTAAGGTGAAAAACACGGAAAATGACGAAAATCAGTCCCAATGAAAAACCATTTCAAAAAATGGTTTTCTTCCCAGACATAATAACCTTTTTTGTACTAGTCTTTCATGTGGCATCAAAGTTATTTGAAGGTAAACTCGACAAAATTGTAAAAATTATACACAAACTTAGGTTAAAAAAAATAATTTTTCATAATTATACTTGTCGTAAAATTGACATTTTCCAATTTCCTTTACTACCCTCCGGCGATCTTTCTTACTAGAAGGTATTAAATATCACCATTTGATAGATTCCTGGCAATTTATTTACACACGAGGTCTTCAAGGGAAAGGGCAGGACAAATCCCTCACATGGGTCACCACCGATGCGCGTCGTATGCTAGAATAATTTTTCAGGCCGACGACCATTATGTCACTATTGCACATGCGCAGATACACAAACTAAATGCATGCACAGTCTATGGGGACAGAACATACGTGATCAAACGACAGTCTACGGTATATATCAAATAAATTGCCATGTGAATTTCGAGCAATTTAGATGAAAGACGTGTTTTAATATTCTTCCGTAAAGTGATAGTTGGCCACCATTAATCTGGCCGCACATTTGGGTGACCCCCGGTGCCACTGGCACAGTGCCAAGTGCCATTACCGCCATTTGGGCTGTTGCCGTAGCAACGCTTTGTTTATACTCCCCTCATTAGCTACTGGCAAGTTGTCCTTCAAAGACAATCGGAGAAATAATGGATGAGATTGCTCAAGTAATTTGTTTGGGCATTTGGATAAAGGCAGGTGATACATGCTTTCGGCACAAGGAATCGGGTTCCTTTTAGAACAAAGGATACACCTGCAGCTATCAATTGTCGTTTAGAGTAACACAAAGAGATTTTAAAGTTCTCTTGGCCTTACAGGTTAAGTTAATGGAGACAACCCTGTCCGTTCTATTGATTTCAACCAAAGGAAATTAAAATCTTTTGCAATTTTGTGTAATGACTGTACATCGTCTCTAGAACATCGCCAAGGAGTGGATCCAAGAAACCTTCCGGGGGAGGGCAAGTTCAGACCTTAAGCATGATGACAATCAATTCACGGTCCGCCTAAAGTAAAGCAGTTTTCCTAGAGGCAGAGAGACGAAGTGTCATCTAGTCCTTGTGTGGGTTCGTACGACCCACAAAACACATTTTTGATCGTGTTCCCTGAATCTATTTCAGAAATGCAAATTTACCAGACTAGTTTATGATTAGCATGCCTTCCAGGCCTCCCGTTCATTTTGTTTATATAAAATCTGACCTGAAACACTAATAGATATTTAATCTCAAATTTGAATTTTTCATCACAGTAAATTAGATTCCATCATATTTATTTTGTTGCTTTGATTTTTCCCCAATGAAAGTTAACCTCGTTTTTTTCCTCGGGCCACTTGGAATGTAACCATAAGACTGCTTCCGAATCACTTGGCTGCAGCTTCCAATTACACCCGGGAACCGGCAACAGCTATAACCATAGACTCTTGTGTATTTTCTAGCCGCAGCCACGTAATTTGGACACAGCCTAAGAATTAATTGAAACAAAGTACCACAGCCTTCAACGCATGTAAACGCTCGTCGCATTTGATAGAAGGAAGATATTGCTTTAAATTATAAGACATCAGTAGTAACTGACTTCCAAGGGTCAGTTTAGAAAACATTTACAGTTTGCCTCCGAGTTCCCTGGTTTGAAAACCTGAAAGGTCCTAGTCCCCTGCTTGCCGGTTGAAAGATCGTCACGTAATTAGACTGGTAGGCTCAGATGTTCATTTTAGTGTTCTGCAACGGATAAAACTGTTATTTGCTGTCTTGTCAAAAAGACGCAGTTTACAAAGCGCCATTTACGACGCAGGAAGTATGGCAGGACCGACGTAGAGCCGCGCCAGTCGACAACGTTTTCTGCTGTAAGTCACCTCGAGGAAGTAATTGATCTTCATACAATATTAAATGAGAGAGTTTCAGCGTGAAAAATTGATGAGAGAGGTAATTCACACTCAAAACAGCCAGGGTTGTGATAATTTTTGTTACTTTTTTTTCACAATGTCGGTGGAAAAATCATATTTACCGTCCCCGCATCTTTCCTACTCAGAGACCACCAGGATTTTTCTTTAACCGCAGGCAAAAATGGCTCGGAAAGGCAAAATTTTTAAGTAATCCACCGGCAAATAAACTATTATTCTGTGGGTCACATCACGCAGTCGATGATATATATCTCCAAACATGTCCGCCTCCAAATACTTGGCTTTGGTCTTAAATTCCTCTAAATCTTTGTAAACTATTTAAGCCTACGTGGACCGTAATATTTGCCCCATATTATGCCTCTTTCACTTGTGTGCAATATTACACATCGTCATCGATTTAATTATTCGATCTCGTTATTGGTCGGAGTAGTCACTACATTGACGCCCTTTATGTTTGTCTCCTATGGATTGTATAAGTTTTAATAACCCCGAACCAGTTGCCGGTTCCGTTTGTAAAGTTTGGAAATACACAGAGGTCCACGTCCCTGAATAGTTTGATGGGAAAGTCTTCAAAGACCTAAAAACGTAATGACATCACACTTTGACACCTGTGCTGTCTATGGGGGCTTGAAATACCGTGTCCCACTTCACTGCCGTCGGGAAATGTATATATGAAAACAAAGCTATAGACGCCACTATGTTATAGGTCTATTCAAGAGGTATCGAAGGACTTGTGCAATAGGGCTACTGGAGTTTGTGAAATGGTGGTCGAATTTCCCCCTCAAAAAAAAATTACTTTCAAAAAGATTACCGGTCGTCATTTTATTGCCTGAGGTCTTGTTTTCACTATTGTTAGGGATACCTGGCTTGCACTAAAGCATAGAAAAGCTATAATTAAGCTTGTCTACATTTTATCACTATCAACCCAGTTTAACCTGCGTTCCCATGACTGGACTTTGAAACACGATTCTGGAAACAGGGAAGAAATCAGATCCAAGATACACCTCCCTCGGAAAATCCAGACAAGCAATGACTGATGATACGAAAACACATCTGTATTATTGGAGTTACCAAGCTGATATTCATGACAGCTATAGGAAAAAGTAGTAATGTAAGTGGCATGTCCAAACATTTCTGAGACTAGGGGAAGTGGATTCTTATTATCACCGTTCCAGTTGCTTGCTATTGTGGTTTTCGGAGGGGAATGAGTAAGGAGTGGGGTACATTGGGCGGCACAAGGTCTGGCATATACTTTCCTGAATCAGTTATCTATTTAGCACAATTCTTGCCTAGTATTCCACCATTAACTGCAAATGCCACATTGGCCCTTCATTTCTAACTGCCTATATTATCTCCGTCTGTTTATACGAAAAAAGTCATTGCGAGAGAGTTAAAGCCTTTTCAAGTAACGAATCGAACTCACACGTAAGCCCTATGATCTGACGATTTATGTCTCCTGCAAAATGGTGCTGCACAGGTTTCAAGGAAACACTGTCCATGTGAGTCTGTACCACGTTCCAACTTGATCATTAAGCCTAACGAAACGTGCATTTCATTTTTCCAGTTTGATTTGAGATGCCTACAGCGGTTGCACTTAACATGCCGAGGAGCAACTCCGCTATACTTAACATTAGCATAAGTTCAATAGACTTTATTCACAAGAAAGCCATTTTCAAGTTGATTATGTTTCCTGAATTTATTTCTTGCGATCTGTCAAAAGGGATGGTACCAGAGTATTTTAGGGTCCATGCTTCACTTTCATTTTTTTTCAGTGCTACTTAAAACATTACATGCAATAAGTCACAATGTATAAATTATTCATCATCTTAAATTAAATTAACTTTTCCAGTGCTGTCATTTTTATTCTTAGGTTCCCATACCTCGTTTTTTTATTGAATAATGGCCTCGAGAACGCGGTCAATTTTTGGTGCTTGTGTTTACTAGGTCACATCTCTAGCTCGCCCAAAGCAAACAAAATGAAATAAAGTGCACCAGCAAGCTAAGACTGTCTTTTGTAAAACCAAGGAAGTTAAAAAATACTGCAGTTGACATTTTCTTATTATAACGGATTGCACTTGCTTGCACCATTTTTAGGGAACACGCCGTATACACTGGCTGTCATCGGGATCGGAAATTTCGTTATGTGGACAAACGTAAGGGTTCCTATTGATTTGCATTGTACAAGGTTCTTATAAGGGTTCAAAAATGGCTCTAGAGACTCATGACTCATTTCGTTAGGTTAAGTCACATTTTACAACTGCTGGTCGATTTACCATGGTACCAAGGTCATTTGTTCTGCATGAGCTCCAATTGAAAATCTACCAGTGGTCGCCATTTGGTCGCATAACTCTGCGTGCGTTATTTCTAGCGACAACCACAGACCTTATGTTCATTGGATTCAAGCTTGGGCATAATTTGCAAAAGTATACATATTTTACAAGTCACCACAACCATGCTGCAGACCAAACTACACAGTAAGCGCGCCTGTATTGCTGATAGAGCCCATATAAGGGACACCGAGAAGCAAATTCCATTAATGTCATTTCATGTTCTCAAAATAATTTGTGTGTATGCTTAAAACCAGACAAGCTATGCGCTCATTTTTCGTTGTCGTTAAATTGTCAGTGCAATCAAAGTTGTTCGAAGTGGAGAGCAGTACCGGTAGATCAAGGTATTCGAAAAAATAAATGGACTCATTTAGAATTGGGATGCATTTACGGGGCAATCTTCAAAGAAAAACATTTAATAAGACGACCAATTTTAGCAAACATTGAGAAGTGCGCCGAAACATTGACATAATAGGTCTGCAGAATTTTGGATTCCTCTAATATTTGTCACGTGACCATAGCGGCCACTTTAAATCTCTCAAATTAAGGGCAGATCCAGAACCAAATGTAAGGGGCAGACTTCATTAAGAGACCTAAACAAATCGGATTTTTTTCATTCAACTTTTTCATGGCATTTCTAGGATGGAGCTTCATTTTGGGGGTTTTAAACGTTTTGGAAGGAAGAAAATGAAATAGAATAAAAATTTCTTTTACAAAATGTGGCTCCTTTGTCTTCGAGGGATCCGCTCTGGAGTGTTCTTCATAATGTATCACCGAATGAATCATGACCCTCACAGCTTGTGGTAGCAATTCGGTCAACGTGCACGGTTTTCCCCGAGCCAGACAATTAATTTTGATGTATTAGAAAAAATCATCTCGTTCTCTTCGGTAAATCAAGCACGCATGACGGACCATTGGGAATGCAGGAGATGTTTACGTTCTCACCGAAATGATTTGATGTAGATATCTAGGGTTGGCGAATTAACCACACGACGTGGTTCGTTGGCATTATAATTCGATTTGGTGTGCGCATAATTTATTTTGGTGCCTGTTGAAGAACATGCCCCATAATATACCACGATGAGTGTTACCATTCGACTTACCGGTATTTCAAAAAAGAAATTCAAGTTAATCATAAACAAGAGCTTGAATAGAGGATTATTGCGCAAATAGGGAATTGTGCTTTAAAGTTTCCTAGCCATTGCTGTGCTGAATAAATTATGGCACCAGCCTGGAAATAAGAACACATCGTGTCTGGTTCGCAAATATACCCGTATGTATACGGTATAATAATCTCTGGCACAGTGATTACAAAAATCCACTTGAAATGGATCAAAGATGTCCAATTAACCACGGTAGGGAGCTTTCGTTTTCAATACGGTTAAAAACGGAAGCTACCTACTTTGCATTATTTGCCACAACAACTCCAGGTGAACACGGGGATACATTTATTTCAATGTGTATTAAAGGCACAGAGACAACATTCATGTGGTTATATTATCTATGAACTGGTTCGTAAAGCAGTTTTGAAAATCGACGTCTTTTTTAAAGCATTAACACAGCAGTTCGACCGCTATAAAGGCTATAAATGGAACTCAATGCAATTATGTACCTGCGGCCATGATACGGGATGTGGTATGCAGGGCGGGTTAGTGGGAGATGACTGCATAATATAAAGGCCTAATGCTTATAAGAAGGCGTAATCTCTTCAATCTTAAGGCCAAAGGTATAGCGTGGGACCTCTTCAGACTGAATCAGAAAATGGCTAATTTTACGGTTAAAGTGGTAGGCAAACCGACTGTGGCATCGAACCCAAAGAGCGTTTAAGCCATGGCCTTGTTTCCCACGTATACAGCTTGCCGATATGAAGCGCGCTTATGCATAGAACAGTTGATTGGTGCCGATCTCAAGAATTATGTGAATTTCGCTGATTAGATGCAGGTGCAGGCACAGTTCTGGCATAAGCTGCAGATCGTGGACTAAAAGCTTGAAAAAAAAAGTTCGCTACTAGGATAAGAATGCCAACTATTCTGATATGAGGGAAGACGCTTTCAAACCCAAAGGAACCGATATAGGTTTCGCAGCTACATGCACAAGTACATGTATTTTTTTTAATGGACGAAGGAACATGTTACAGCATCACAAACGAAAGCAAAAGACAAAAATATGGTTACGCTTACTATTACTTACCAGGTCAAATGAAATCAGATCGCAGTCCTCTAGTAGACAGTAACTTCCTCTTTTCGAGTATAATCCCGCAATAACAAATAATGAGCGACAAACCGGGCAGTATTTAATACCGATCTCTCCAGAGTTTGTTAATGATGCAGCGGTTGCTATGAAAATGGGGGTAGTATCCCGCGTGCTGCGCTTGGCTGGGACAGTCAGCAGTAATTTCACCATTCCACACGCCTATATTTTATATAACAATCGATCGCCTTGGGCCAATCAGGACAGGGGGATGTGCGTTGCTTGGATACGTGATTCTTATGTAGCCGATTATCATAACGATTTTCTTCACCAGGTGGTAATATTTCGACAGTTTTTAGGAGCATAAAAAGCGTATGCTATTGCTGGTTTCGCATCAGGCAAACGAAGAGTTGGGCAAAGATATCAACTGCCGAGACTTCACACATTGCATTAATGGTGGCATGCGTCGTTGCTTACAATGAAATTTGCTATGCGATTGTTTCGTGTGACATGCTCTTGTAACAAGATGTGGCAAGACACTGATTTTGCTCTCTGTACTGTAAAAGATTAACAGTCACTGATTAACTGTGATTGGCATCCGTAGAGTGGAACTGTCATATACTTTATATGTATCATATTGAACCGGATCTTGCTATCTACCTAGAGTGTATAGCGATTTTCCAGATTTTTGCAAACTTTCCAAAGGGGGATCGAAGCCACTGTTTTTTCTCTCTCTCTTAGCGACAGATTCCCTTGACGCCACCACAGGTGCGAGGTACTCGGAGCGGGCAAAAAGTGGGGTTGCATCAACATAGACCTGGGGTGATGGATATGGATATTAGTTTGCAGTCATGTACTCTGTCTTTGCCTGTATATTGACTATGAGGTCAAGATTCTTTGTTGTTGCTATGGTCCTGTTTATATGTTCCCGATTCTGATGTAGTAGAGAATGTGATTATGTTACTGATTAAACCAAAGGCTATTCCAGAAACGTACGTTGCAATTAAGAGTCACTTGTTTACATGATTTCCAATCTTCCTGTCAACGGTTAGACATGCCCAACTCACGGGCTGGGTAACCAACAAGCACTTTTGAGCCAGTTAAGCACACACTTTCATGGGGAATTCTTTCAAGCCTGCAAAAATGAATTGAATGAGTGATTACGTAATGGATGGTCATTATTCAGGAACATAGGATGTGCCGTTGATGGCCCTAAAATAACGGCGTTACGTTTTGTTTACATGTGCACTTTTCCTGCGACGGTTCGATGTTTTTACAACGTGATAGACATGTTATGCCTAAAAGCTTTCATAATATTCGACAACAATGTTATGGCGACATGGTCTTGGAAACGTTTTAATGACGTTTGTATGACTTTTAAGGAAACGTTGGTTGAATGCCTTTGCAATGATTAATTAGCATTATGTTAATGAAATACCTCTAAGATCTTCCCGATTATGGCACCTCGTGTTGTAAAATCATGTCGGAAATCTAGCGATTTAGCGATGCACCGCTATGGATTGTGTGCACGGTTGTCAAGTCGTACGCAGAGGTTATAGCTTGAACGTACTGCTTACAACTAGTGGGTGAGCCTAACAAATCATACGTACGAGATTATACAAAAGTGATGTAGGGTGCCCCCCCCCAAATTTTGAAATGGACATTTACGTCCATTTATGGAGGTAGGCGTTTAGACAGGCACCTAGTTCAGTTATTTTCAGAGCTCTCTGAAAAAAATTGTGCACCCCAGGTGCCCCCTCAGCTGTAGCACCCTAGTTACGCCACTGATACGCACACGGACCGGCGCGCAACGGTCGCTAAGTGTACAGTAATGTACATCAGTTTGATTCATCAGAAGTCGATACTTCAACTAGGCCGAACAAATAGTGACATTGTCTAATTGTGACCTCACAGAACTCGGTTAGTTTTGCTACGTCAATGCCAAGGTTAAGCTTCAGGCCTAATTGCCGCGCCAGGAACCACAAACCAGAGGGAGGGGTGGGTGGACCCCCCATCCGCTCTGATATAAAAAATAAATAAATAAATGAAATGTAAAAAATTAATTCGAGATTATAGAAATAAAAAATAGGTCAGTGCATCTGTATGTGTCCGCCTGCAAGCAACAATCAGACGGGCCTGCTCCCTGGAAAAAATCCTAGATGCGCCCCACTTAAGGCCCTGAAATGGAATTTGATGTCACTGAAATCAATCAGTTACAAGGGTCTAGCATCCCACCAAGCTATTAAGTGAAGTCAGTAATTTGCAAGAACCGTTGACAACAAAGATGGTCTTTTTTCTTCTTTTTATGGACTTGCGAATTTGCATTTTAGTAACATGTTTTCCAACAAATTAACGGTCTTAGTATACGAACAAGGCGCCCCGCTAATAGCATATCTGATCAGGGACAGACAGACAGACGCGGGCTAGTCAGCGGCACTCCGTTTGGCATATTTCCATATGGCCGCGTTGCAGTTTGCGTCTTGATTGCGTTGCTCTCTGCGTTTCTTACGTCGATATGGAAACCAGGCTTTATAACGTGCGCTTTCCTACAGCAGAGGTGGGACCCCAGCAAACACATAATGCTGTGACAACTTTTTTGAAGGTCGCGCCAATGTTTTGACAAAAACATTTTGAAATGACATTTTAATTACAGCATAGAAACAATATGTAAAGCACAGAAACATTGTAATGAAATTATGCAAATGTACCCAATGTGATGTTTTATCTGACATTAATTTTGAGAAATATTTGAAACAGATTTTAAAGCGAAAAACAAATATTGCTAATATTTTATGACATTATTTAGAAGTTATAAAATTTGTTCGCCTGTGCTTTGAGAATGTTACCTGCACGTGTATTTATAGCAGTTCTTAAGATGTTGAACAGCTGTTATTATGACGTATGATGTGTGATAATAACATTCTTAAAACAATTCATAAATCTTTGAATAGACGAAAGCATCACCAACGCTTCTTTGAAAAGGGATAGTTTTTAAAATGTGTTGAGTGGATGTGATATTTTCTAAAAATCATTATTGTAGACGGAATCACCGCCGATATGCTGAAGGCCTCCTTGGACACAGTGGCACCCTGGCTGACCAACCTCTGTGGTAGAATATGGGAATCAGAGACTGTCCCACCTGAATGGAGGGAAGGAATTATAGTATCCCTCTGTAAGAACACGGAACAAGGAGACGTCAGGAGTCTGGCTAATTATCGTCTTATCACACTCCTCTCCACTCCCTCATATGTAGTCACCTCCCTAATCCTTCAGCGAATTATGGCCTCTCCTTCTATCCAGACAGAGGCCCCAGCAATCAGGGTTCACCCCGTGTAGATCCTCTACTGACAGCGTCCTAGCCCTGGAGTCTGACAGAACAAGGAAGGGAATTTCAGCTAGCGTCCCCTTCTAGCAGCCTACATAGATCTGAAAGTTGCGTTGTAAAAATATCATTACAATGTTGCTGTGACCTCATTTTCATATTGACCCTAAGAGGTCGTGGTTATCGAGTGTTGTTGCAATTCTGTCATTTTTGTAACAAACATTTTCAGTTTTACTTTTTATTAGTAGTATGTCAAATATCTCCGTAAAAACATTGTACTAGTGGATGCAATGCCTCGGATTCATTTGTTGCAGGAACAAGTGGAAGATTGCCTTGGGGATTCATTCGTTGCAGGAACAATTGGAAGATGAAAATTGCAATGAAACTTGCACGTTGATTGGAAGGCAAATAAAACGTTTAGCAGATTGCTGATGTCATAGCGTCATGAAACGTTATTTTGATTTTGTTTAGTAGTAGGTCAATATATCTCCGTAAAAGCATTGCTCATACGTTTCGTAAAAAAGTCATAAAGATGTCATAAAAATGTTTGCTAGACCATGTCGCTATAACATCATTTACAAAAATGACAATATTGCAATGAACATATCAGTTTGATGTTTCAAGTTACTACTCAGAAGTGAGACGGTAATATTTGTCGCAATTTTCCTGATACAGTTAAGTAGAATCCCCTGCAAATTTGCATGTAGGATATCATGCCTCCCCCACTTGTGCTAAATGGTTGCGCTCCAAATACGCGCCCTTAGAAATCAGTACAATTTCGGACAGAAATAGCGGCGCCTGGTGAATCAAGAACAACCTGTCCTATCGTTTGTTTAAGACTATGGCCACAAATCCAGTTTTCCTTTTAAATTTCAAAAGGGTTTCATGGGTATTCTTTCCACCCTTCTCCGAGACGCCCCCTCCCCCAAAATAATAGTCAAGGTATGCGCTCAGGACTGTAGTAAGTTGGCGGTTGTTGAGAACGCAAAACCCCGAGTTGGAGGTCCGACTAGTCCCAAATTTGTGATTTAAGAGGCGTGGGTATATGGTCATCAGTGTCATTTGTACCATCAAGTTTTAACTCGAACCACATAAAAACTGGGTAGGGCCTTTGTCGTTCATAGAGTTATATTCATAAGGCGAACTTGCGGTCCATGAGAGTCGTACGTATGGGTTGCACGTCGTACGTACAACCTAATCATAACCCATAACTCACTTGTATAAACAGCCATAGCTCGTATACGTGTGGGTCATGCCGGTTCCCCTGAGAAATTTCAGTCTACAAGTCAAGATAACGATCACATAAAAGGAATAGACTCAAATGCAAAGTAAATATCTTTATTATTCCCGCTTACGTTATATGCGTATCCATTTTCACATCTCCTGACAATCATCAATGCCCTTGGTTTTCAAGCAGCTAATAAAATCTCATTCATTAATTCTTAATTTTAATTCTTAATTTTGAGCCCCTTTGTTGTATGCAAAGCAGGACCGCTACTTGGCAACTTTAACTGCTCGCAGTCCGACATTATGGACAATGCGGATTGTCCAATTAGATACCACAGCTCTAATATCGCCGAGACTCGGTCTAAATTTGACAACGGAAACTATTTAGCTTGATGGCATCGGTAAACACGAACTCTGCCCTGCCGTTTGTCAGCCCGATCCCGTGATTGTCACATCTCATTATATTTCCAGGGGGAAGGAAGTCACAACCATCGCGCATGGACCCTTTCGCCGTGCACGGGGTACCGGTATCCATGATAATGAACCGTCAGCTACCGTGACAACTGACGGCGGCCGCGACAGCAGTGCAAACAACCAAAGGAGAATAGATAATGCGTACTGTACGTGGGTTGATGCAGCAATATTCTTGGTTGAACCGCG